GTACACGAAGACGTCTGCAGAGAAATTGTACTCGCTTCCACAACCTTAATGACTTTTCCTCTTCAGTAACGATGACAGAAATACTTGTCCAGACAGGCACAATAAATACACAAAAAGCAATCGAACAGGAAAAACGTGCTGTCGAACTTAGTAATAACTCCTCTGTACTCACCACACTCTTTCAAAATAAACTGAAACGTTCTAAGTCGGGAGGAAACATATTTATTAAAGACAAACAAGTATACGAAGATCCTAAACTTGTTACGGAACTATTTAATGAACACTTTTGTTCCTCATTAACTGATGAAAAACCACTTAATGATTCAGAACTTATCACAGCATCTGCCTGTGAGATTACTAACGTAGACTTCAATGTACAGAATATCTCTAAGGCAATTAGTACACTGAAACACTCCTACACTGATGGACCAGATGGTATTCCGGCTAGCATGCTAAAACGTGGAGGCGATGATATGTGTGTTTTATTACTCAAACTATTTGTGATATCACTCTCTACAGCGCATTACCCTACTTTTTTTTTATGTTGGTTTGTTCTCTGAGCTGGATGGTTTGGTCGTGGAGCTTTCATCGTCCTTCTGAACGACATTGTCGTTCACATATGCCTTCCGCTCCTAACCCTCATTTTCAGTTTCCGAATCTCTCTAATGGATAAATCCAAATTATTCTTCCTAAGTGTCATGTCCTTTTATTTTTCTTATTACAAGTAGACAGATAACTCACTAATCTTATGGATGCTGACCAACTAAGGCCGATCAAAAGAAGCTCAAATGTCCTAAATTCTTGTGAGTTGTTCAATGTTTTGTTTTTCTTACCCTGAAAATTTTACAATATCCTCTTTCATATCCTCTGATTTGCTATTAGCCCTTACCATCTCTTACCACATATAATCTGACTTGCCTCTTCTAACCTTTACCATTAGTTATCTTCATAGTAGTACGATGTATTAAATGGATATCTAACCCATAATACAAATGCTATTACCATCTGATTTGCTTGTAACATGGAACTTGTAGAGACAGTGTATTCCAAATATGGTCCTTGATAAAAGCAATATTCATACCGACCACAAACGTAAGAGAGCCTAACATCATAAAAGGAGGGAGGGTGGCGTCACTGACCAGCAAACATGATGGTGGGGAGATAACTTCAATCCACCCATGTCTGTGGGGCAGAACATATTAATTACGGCTCCTTATGTCTAGTGGGATGTCACGAACCAACGGTATTGATGCGAAATTATTCATGCAAAATACCACTTTGAATCATGTTAAAAAAAGCTGAATTGGTTCCACTTCCTACCAAGTAATCCTAATACAAGCAAACTAAACAATTGGCTAAAAACGAAGCCCACTCTATACCCTATAAAATCTAAAGACAAAAAAGAGTTCAAACAGCTTCGAAAAAAAGGGAGACAGCCATTTGAATCGGAATACTGTTTTCAGCACTCTATTTTATAATTACACAATTCCATTCTTTCTTCTGAACTACCTTCATTTATACAGTTCCTTATCCACTCATGCCTTGTTCACACTTAGTTTTATTTAACACATTAGTATGTTCTTACCTAATAAGTACTTCAGTAACAGACAAATAGACTAAATGGTTATACATTAACTATTCCTCCATGAATATTGTGTGCTCTGCTTTTCGTCCTTCCTTTTCTTTACACCTTTTTCAGCCTCCTGCAGATACTCCACCGAAAACAGATATGGCACGCGTGACTTCGTCCTACACCGTGATTAAAGCCTCAGATATTCCGGAGGAATGTAAGGTCGAAACTTCTAAAAGCCCCCAACTTCGCATGTATCTATTCTCGACCATCACTTGCATGCTGCGACGCTACCTCCATAAAGTGCGCCAAGTGTGATATTGATATTGACATGTTTCTTATGAAATCCATTTACATTCATATCTTATGAAATATCAACCCAACTGAGTAATTTTCAACAGTGAAAATTGTAACTTCTTTAACGATTTGATCTTGCCTGTAAACCGGCATGCCTCATGTAACAATGTGTTATTTGAGAATAAATTATTTTTATTATTACACTTGACGGAGAATCTTTCGGGGATGTGCAAACCTTCACATATCTGAGCAGCATCACTAATGCACACGGTGGATCCGATGCAGATATGAAGGCATGGATCAGCAAAGCAAGAGCAGCATATTTACAACTGAAAAACATCTGGAGCTCAAAACAATTGTCAACCAACACCAAGGTTAGAATTTTCAATACAAATGTCAAAACAGTTCTACTGTATGGGGCGCAAACCCGGAGAACTACGAACGCCATCATCCAGAAGATACAAGTGTTTATTAACAGTTGTCTACGCAAGATACTTCGGATCCGATGGCCAGACACTATCAGCAATAATTTAGTGTGGGAGACAACAAACCAGATTCCAGTGGAGGAAGAAATCAGGAAGAAGCGCTGGAAGTGGATTGGGCACACTTTGAGGAAATCGCCCAATTGCGTCACTAGACAAGTACTCACATGTAATCCTGAAGGTCAAGGGGAAGAGGAAGACCAAAGAACATATTACGCCAAGAAATAGAGACAGACATGAAAAGAATGAACAAAAAATGGATAGAACTGGAAAAGAAGGCCCAGGACAGAGTGGGTTGGAGAATGCTGGGCGGCGGCTTATGCTTTATTGGGAGTAACAGGTGTAAGTAAGTAAGTTCGGTTGAAAGCACAGCCGTAGTGTGAATTTTCAGTCGAAGAAAATCCCCTGACTTACGTGAAGATGGCAAAAGAAAGATACTGCATGACAGCTACTGTCTTCTGTTGTGAGTCATATCTGACAAAGTCTCAAGCCCATGCGTCGCAATATCTCTAGGACCACAAACGAGGGGTCGTAGAGGACCATTCCTATACAACGTTTTTATACAACGATACCATTTCATACGCTCTCCACCTCTCCACACTTTCCAGCAAGCATCTTGACCGGTGTACAATGCATGTTGTGGAATTCGCTGAGACATTTTTAGGCCATCAAGGTTGGATTTTCGTGATGGCGGCACCATTCGAGTGGCGAAATGATCTCACCAAGCGCTCCACAGTCAGAAAATACACAGCTACCTAACTATTAGTACCTCTTCATTACATCGGTTTGCTCGCCATTAAGAGTGAGTTCAGACTCTGGGTCATGCTATTCTTGTAAAAGTAGTTTGTATCTAGAAGATGCAAAGCACATGCCACACCCACCGACACAGATTGTACCCTGATCAAGAGCAGTTGTTATAACTTAAGTAACATCTCACAATAAGCCAACATTCAAGTACACTGAAGTCTCCGGCTACTTCTACAATATTTATAGTACATAGGTTCTGTAGAAGATCACTCAAATGACTGTATAACTCATCCTTGGTCGAATCAGAGCTGCAATCTGTCGGATCGTGGGTGGAGATGACAAAAAGATATCACTTCTTACGCTCGTAGTTTATGTGTAGACTGGGATGCTTCCTGGGCGCTGAAACTGAAGCACGTTGTTTCCTCAAAGAGCCCCCCCCAAAGCCTTTGACGTAGAGGTCTAATCCATAAGTCAGGGGAGCAGTGTTAGATATAGTCCTGTAGTAGGATTGTCCGCAACCACACAATCTTTAAAGCTAGGCATAAGATAACGAGGAAAATATGTATTCAGCATTTAACACGAAGAGAAGGCAATTGATGGTGAACGCGTTAATAATCATAGATTCAATCGGATGACATGGCTCAGCCCTGCAGACGTGATCAATGGTGCCTGCACCTCAGTTCCTTTGACGGCAGCAATACTCTATTCATCAAGCACTTCCTGGGAAAATCCATCATCAAACTTTCCGTCGCAAGAAATGACTCCAAAACAACTCTTTGTGATACCTTAGATGTCGCTTCCTGTTGGTATGCTGAAGGCGATAAAAAACAATCACTTTTAAGGTTCCTTTCTTGTAAGACTCCAGTCTTATACGGGGATAGTTCAAGGTGTTCTCAGTTTTTATCTAAGAACTTATATGGAAAAAGGCTTTTTCGTGATGCCAACTTGTCATGGGAATGAGGTTCCACTATAGGAATGTGTCCAAAGGAAAGCGACCAAAACGGAAAAAATTATACTCTACCTAGTTCGCCAAGGGGGTCCTAACTTACAACCAGTCCGTTAAGGAAGTATTAGGAAAAACATGGTCATGGTGTTCCATAACGAACAGATTTTTCCACACCCGGATGTACCACTGACATGTTTTGGCAATAAGTCACATGTAAGAGGACATGCACTCAAAACGGAACATGAAAGAGCTTACTTAATAATCCGTGCAAACATTTTCGTGGTTGTAAGTAGTACGTTATAGGACTCATTCTTAGAAGCTATAACAGTGGAAAATCCCACTGAATCTCTCAAAATAACGTTCAACGAATAACCTAGTCCATAAGGTAGTATGTGAGATTAATCTAAGAGTTACTTCTTGGCCATGTCTGTCACTAAATCTATTGCTTCCCCTTATAGAAGTAAGGGAGACGAGAATATCTCTACGTAACCAGAAACGTGTTCAGATTACCCAGACGCAGATCTAAAGTAGAACAGTAAACTAATTCTCCAAAGCACGGCTTCAACAGGAATCGAACTGTTGGCTAGTCTTTTGGTGAGTCAACTCGACTAACCGAGCGTAACTCGATATTTATAGTGAAACCAAAAAGGTTACAGATATGTGGTGGGTAGGGTAAGGGATTAACATACACACTCATATAAAAACAGTCAAAGTTAATTAGCGAATAACCGAAAAGGTCAAAATGTGACTCAGGAAAAATGAATAGATCGGTCTGTCTGGAAGCTAGAATAACCCTTGTGGGCTTGCCATGGTACTGGACACTACAGTCTTTCTTGACCCGTACTGAGGATGCGATAGCAATATAGTCTTTCTGTGTATCAAATAGTTTATCATACTTAAAAAATGTATCCACAGTCATTTTCGAATAACTTGATGGAGTATTGAAACTACAGACTACACTGAAGAAGTAGGCGCCAACAGCGTTAGGACCGCAACACTTCTCTGTGGCTGAGATCTCAATCTCTCTAAGGTTGATGCTCTTCATGACCTCATAAAATTCAAAGGTAGGATTGACAAACCGTCTATCCCAAATGTATATTTACTTTGGTTTGGTTAGTTTAATAAAACATCGTTTCCATTGGCTTGTTTCATAAGTAACAATATTTCTTAAGAACACTAGCTTATAAACTGAGGAGCACTCCAACTTTTTGAGCGCTTCGGTTTCCTTGAATCTTTTGGAGGCCTAACTTGTTATTTCTCAGGCTAGTGTGAGCTCGCCTACTAACCTGCCAAAATGTTTCTTTTCCTAGTTAGCGAAAATGGAGGGAATAAAGGAGACGACAGCGTTGATAAAGCGAAAAAGTAGTTTTTCCCCATTGACGTCGGTTATTTAGGGGAAATATCGGTGTTTATGTAAATTAAGATTTGTAATATCCCAGTCTCAATTTTAGGGAAATTTATGGGTTTTCCCTAAATTCATATGAAGATTTGTAAATTCCCCCAAAGTTCTGGAAAATCCAAGATTTTTTCAAAGATTTTTGGGATTTCCCCAGAATTCCAAGTTATTTTTGGAAACTTCCCCAAGGTCTGGGGATACCTTGATTATTATTCTCAAGCATTGGCAGTCCATTGTCATAAGACAAAATCGTTAAGCAGTTACGCCGTCGATTACTACGTAGACCAGATTGGAAGCAAGAGTTTTTTCTTGCTTTTACCGATTGTTACGTGATTCTGCTACCTTGTTTTTTATGTCTTGTTTCAACTTTCCCTTGCCATTTCCGCAATTCGCAGTGCTGTTACAATTTTACCTAGTGGTTTTGAGTGCTGTTGGAAGTATAAGGGCAGTTATTACTTCTCGGTCGCTCACAACGTGGTAGGGTTCTTCTGGATGTACCTAAAAACGAAATTGGGTTGGGGGTGGTCATAGTGACCTAAGAGCGTGGCCGCAGTGTCCAAGGGACAACTGCTTGAGGTCGATCACACACGACCTTTTTGTGAGTAATTTTCCTGTTAACTCCGTACTTTTTGGGACTTTACCGCTGGAGACGAATATCCGAAGAATAAGGCGAGGTGCGCATTTTTTGGAGTCGACCTTTTCTAACCCCATCCTCTTTGTGGGAAGGCAGCATCACTGCTATGCTGGTTGTCTGGAGGAAACACCCTACTGCCTTCACATCTGTGTACACTTAACAGTAGGACTTGACCCTCGGACCTTGGATTTTCCGTTTTTAGTTTTACCGCTCTTGAACTGACCTGTCTGGCATGGTAGGACCTTGAGGAACGATTGTTCCAGCCAGTGTAGCTTGGTTGGTTCATTCCGATAAGCAAGCCCGACCATCACGTGAAGGTAGCAACAACGGTGGGGTACAATTGTGTATTCTTATCACATGTCCATCCACTAATCTATAACGACATATACTTTTCTTAAATGAGCTCCACATGGGTGTTTTAGGAATGTCTAGTAATTTACGTTACGATGTAATTACGACTGCTCATTATTACTTCGTATGAAATTGTGTACAGTATCTAGAATCTCTCAACCTCGCCTTTGTTAAGTCAGTCACAATGAGCGTCTGATCCGGAACAAACGCACCATAACGAGTAAAAAAATGTACGCGATGGGTTTACCCTTTTTATTCAGTTGGCTGATCATTTTGTCACCTAAATGCTTTCATATTAGAGTGTGATAGTCTCTAAATTTACAGTTTTAAATTATAGTATCAAACTCTTCGCTTTACATTTATTTTGCGTTTTTGTTTGTATATGCGCACCAAGTTATGCAATGTAATATATTCGGTTGAATCTCAGTAAATGACCTCGAATTTCTTAAGGCGAATAGCGAAAGTATAATATCAGCATGTGCCCTTTTATAGTAGTTCTTGGGACTAATCCATCTGTATTTTCAATTTTTGTATTGAGTACAGTTCGTACTCCTATCTAGACCTACCATATTACTTCGTATTAATACGTGCTTGTTACAAATTATGTATGTCAGCAGGAGTATGGCATAAGGACGAGTCTAAAAAGACCTTGACCAATTTTCAGTCACTTCTTAGCCGACTGCAAAAAGGCCATTGTTAATGCAATGTTTATGTAAAGGAAAATAGTGTTACAAAACACAAGCTTATTTCATGTATCTGATGAATCCACTAACTTCTTTTACAAGCTAGTCTGAATCTAGATCGGAAAAGCAATGACTTGTCTTTTTCCATATAGAATTCGTGTTTCTGAGCCCTTATAAAGACCTAAATAGATTTTTAAGAGTTCCTAAATTGTTCCTCTTTAGGGTTACGTACCTAGGGTAAATATTAAGGGTTTAGGGTTTTTATCACGAACTAGTATTATCTATAGTGCGAAACCCTCTGTAGCTAAATATACTAAAATATTTCATGCAAAAATCTTAGAGGCACTATCTGATTCGTGTGTTCACGAAATATAATGCTACAGGACTAAATTTTCAGGCTAAAGAGTTTGTGGTAGGGATTTAGAGATTGAACCGATTTGGCTGTTATGTACAATCTGCGAAGGCATCGAGCATTAGATACGCTTATCTATCATTTTTACTTTATGGTGGCAAAACATAACTTTCTGCCATTTTAAACGTTTTGAGCAGTATAAAAGTATACTCCTGTTGCTAATTATACGTGGTATTTTAATTTTGTGCAGAACCCCAATGCTCATGTTATCGACTCTGATTATCCCGCTCTTATTTAGTAAACGAGAACTCAAGTGGGTAAACCAATTTATTATTTAGCGCAAAATGACAGTGTCTTCGTAAATTATGAAAATCAAATTAAATGCTTCATTTTCACATCTTCCATCAGTTGTCATTTACATCCTTCAGGGTTCTCCCAATTCCTTTTTGTTCTCAGTTCAGTCTTCTCAACCTTCTTTTGACGGGCATTCCACTTCTGATTGGTGTTGCATACTGCTTATATCTGTCAACATAGGCAGCATACACCGCACTCATACATCAGTTCTGTTTTTATTGAGTTATGAACGTAAAATATGACCACAGCGTAGAATACATCTGTTTACAATACATGCATTGTGAGTGTCTTTGAATCCTTAATAATTACACTAGATGGCTCATATCTCATTTCATACTCAGCAACCACTAATCCTAACTCGCGTTGGTTATTGTGGTAAAATGTTGTCAAAAGCTTTGCGTTATGTAAAGTAAGATTTTGTTACTGTGCGCAATTATCAGCTTTTAATTCAGGGCAGCGGCTGAAATTGAAGGATACAGATGATCAACCTGGTGAAGTTTGGAAAACCCTGATTCCAAGCTATTTATGTACTTTTGACGCTGCCCTACTTCTAGTCAGGGGATTGACTTGGTTATTTGGAAGAGATTGGGATGTTAAATTTTCCAATATTCTGCAATAGGACAATCATCATCATGATCTTCAGAAATGGCCCAAGTTATCTACACGATAATTATTTCGGGATGAGGCTACTTCCAATTGGATCCAACTTTGCCAACAACGACATTCTGAAAACAGCTCTGATGGAAGGAGGTAGTGGTCGTGTGGATATGTTTCTTGAGAAGAGACCTTTCGATCTCAAATATGGGGTCGATGTTGCCTTATTGTGAGCAGATGATACCAGGGTAGTATCACAGCCCATACACAAATCAAGTGACTTATGTGGCGCATATGTATTTGATGCCCTCTTGTACTAATATTTATGTGTTCAAACAAATAAATAACATTTTTGTTGTAGACTGTTTTCGCTTATTATGCACTGTTGAATATTTTGTTTGTTTTCCTTTCATTCTCTTCAAATATACCCATATTGTCATTTTTTCATAGTGTGACGCATTACTTTGTTTGGTATGATGCTGAACCAGATTTTGTAAGAATAAATAAATACTTTTCCTCTGAGGCATTCACTGTAACGAAAATCTTAAGTATAAATTATAAAAAGTTTTGTTAGGGATAGAATTAACTGAAACGACTGCTTTGTACCATACCAGTCAAGCTACTGACTAATAAGGAAACTGAGTTATGTAAGAGTAGTCGCGTTACATTGAGATAGTGGTAATTTATAAAGACAGTGTTTAATATTTTTCCCGACCGTTGCTGCTACCTTGACGTGGTGGTCGGGCTTGCCTATCGTGATGATCCAATCGAGCTATGCTGGCTGGAACAATCGTTCCTCAAGGTCCTACCATGCCAGACAGGTCGGTTGAAGAGCGGTGAGACTAAAAGCAGCAATCCCAAGGTCCGAAGGCGAAGTCGTACTGCTGACTGTACAGAGGTGTGAAAGCAGTAAGGTGTTTCCTTCAGACAACCAGCATGACAGCGATGCTGCCTTCCCACAAGGAGGGTGGGGTTAGAAAAGGTCGACCCTAAAAATGCACACCTCGCCTTATCCCACGGATTTCCGTCTCCGGCGGTAAGGACTTTTGAAGAACGGAGCTAGCACGTCAAAAATCCCCCACAAAAAGGCCGTGCGTGACCGGCCTCAAGCAGATGTCCCTTGGGCACTGCGGTCACGCTCCCAGGTCGTTAAGACCAACACTAATCCAACTTCTTTTTCAGGTCCCTCGAGAAATACCCTTCCACGGTGTGGGCAGCCGGGAAGTGATACTAGCCCTCATACCCTTAACTGCACACAAGACCAAGTTGGTCGCTTTCAAATCCTTCCTACACCTAATGTCTCTGTTATCTCCACGACTAACCCTTCCCACGTCCTTTTATCACCTCGCACCGCTAGGGCAAACGATTCGAGTACACAGAACGTTATTCCTGGTCTCCTGAAACCACGCTCTAAACTACATATAGGAACTTTTAATGTCCGAACATTGTGCCAAATAGGACAACAGGCTTCCTTAGCTAGGACTTTAGAATCTTACACCATCGATGTGTGCTGCGTCTCCGAAACGCGCATACAAGATCCGAGTAGTGTCATTCATTTGACCGCACCTAATCAAAATAAAGTTTCATCTCGATACACGCTCCGTGTATCTGGAAGCCCTGACGCTGCTTCCCGTGGCCTCGCTGGAGTAGGTATAGCATTAAGTCCTAGGGCAGAACTAGCTCTTTTAGACTGGATCCCAGTAGACAGTCGTCTATGCGCTGTCCGACTAAACGGATCAGTGAGGACCCGAAAAGATAGGGAAACTCGTCGTTGCCTCTTCGTCGTCTCTGCCTACTCTCCCACTGACTGCAGCTCAGACGATATAAAAGATGAGTTCTACAGGAAATTTTCTGACCTTCTCCGAGAAGCTAGGCGTTCTGATGTAGTAATAGTAGCAGGTGACTTTAATGCTCAAGTAGGTAAACTAAGTGAAAGGGAAAGACACCTGGGTGGATCTTATGGTGTCATGGCGAAAAGAACAGATAATGGCGACCGTCTGTTGCAGCTATGCTCAGATAACCGCCTATTTCTTGCAAATACTAACTTTAAGCATAAGGAAAAACATCTTTTGACATGGCGAACCCCGTATTCGTCCCAACGTTGGACCCAACTAGATCACATCGCTATCAGCCACCGATGGAGGGGCTCGATAGAAGACTGTCGCTCATTCTGGGGCACATGTTTAGATTCAGATCATGCTCTGGTGCGAGCACGTATCTGTCTGCGTCTTACTGGTCGTAGGAAAGACACTGCAGGGAAGCCTCTAAGGGTTCTACTTAATGATAGGCAAGCTAAGAATATATTTCAGGAACAACTAGGAAAACAGTTAGGCAGCCATGTAAGTTGTGTCCACCCCGAGGCAGCGTGGAATGACATCCGAAAAGCTGTGGAAACAGCAGTGATATCCGCTAATAAGGTAAACCATAACGTTTGGGAGAAACAATGGATCTCGGCAGCATCTACCGCACTGATAGATGCTCGTAAACTCATCCCACCTGGCTCTGAGCATAACGAAGAGCGGAGTCAACTTAAGCGCAGGCTTATAAGAAGCCTACGTAATGATCGTGAACAGTGGTGGGTAGCGAAAGCAAGAGAGATGGAAAAGGCAGCGGCAATAGGTAACAGTAGGCAGCTATTCAGACTCGTTAAAGAAACCGGTATTAGGAACCCGAATATCAGTGAAACCATCTCAGATAAAGATGGGCATATTATTCATTCTCAATCCAGGAGGTTGGATCGATGGGCAGAACACTTTAGGGATCAGTTCAACTGGAATTCAGCCACACTTCAATTACCCACAATCTCCAGTCGTCCTGAATGGCAAATTGAGGTAAGTCCTCCAACCCTCTACGAGGTTGAAAAAGCTATAGGAAATCTGAAGCGAGGGAGAGCAGCAGGCCCTGACAGGTTGACCCCTGAGATTTTTAAGGATGGTGGTCCAGTACTAGCAGTGAGATTGACTGAGGTCTTAGGTAGAATCTGGGAACTGGACGTAATTCCATCTGACTGGTCCCAACCACTGATTGTGCCAGTCTATAAGAAAGGACAAAAGTTCTCTTGTGACAATCACAGAGGGATCAGTTTGACTAATATAGTGTCTAAAATATTAGCTTCAATAATACTAGGTCGCCTAACCAAAGCTCGTGAAGAGCAGACTAGAGAAAACCAGTCTGGTTTTCGACCTGGACGTGGTTGCATAGACCAGATATTCACCCTACGTCAGGTTCTAGAACATAGACACAATAGTAGTATTTCTTGACCTTAAGGCGGCATTTGACTCCGTTGATCGTGAGGTTCTATGGCAATGTTTGTCACTGAAAGGAGTACCAAAGAAGTACATTAACCTCATAAAGGCTCTCTACTCGAACACAACTGGTCGAGTTAGAGCCTATGGCGAACTGTCATCAGAACTGATTACCACAAGTGGCGTTCGTCAGGGCTGTCCACTCTCCCCATTCTTGTTTAACTTTGTCATTGACATACTTTTAGAGATAGCACTTTCATCAGCTAAACCTCCAGGAGTTGAACTTTTACCAGGAGGCTCACTTGTTGACTTAGAATACGCCGACGACATAGTTTTACTCGGTGAAGACGCTGACAACATGCAGAGTCTTCTGACCACTATAAGCAACTATGCAGGCATGTTCGGGATGCGATTCTCTCCCTCGAAGTGCAAAATGTTACTTCAGGATTGGGTTGCATCGACACCTGAACTAATGATAGGGAGTGAAGTAGTTGAGCGTGTAGACCACTTCACTTATCTTGGGAGTCTCATCAGCCCTTGTGGTCTGGTATGTGACGAAATCTCAGCACGAATACAGAAGGCTCGTCTAGCTTTCGCCAACTTGCGTCATTTATGGCGTAGGCGAGATATCCGTCTAGCAACCAAAGGACGGGTTTACTGTGCAGCAGTTCGCTCCGTCCTACTTTATGGCAGTGAAACATGGCCAATAAGAGTAGAGGATATTCATAGGCTACTAGTGTTCGATCATAGGTGTCTTCGAAGCATTGCTCGTATATCCTGAGACCACCGGGTAAGTAATGCAGTTGTTAGGAAACGAGTACTAGGTAGGGATGGCAGATCGATTGATGAAGTAGTGAAACTTCATCAGTTGAGATGGCTGGGACATGTGTTACGTATGCCCGACCACCGACTGCCCCGACGTGCAATGTTTCATGGTGTAGGAGTAGGTTGGAAGAAAGCTAGGGGTGGCCAGACCAAAACGTGGCACAAATCAATGAAGTCGCTGACAAGTGGACTGGGCCATGTTGGTAGGTGTAGACTACCTGGTTGGGATTCGCGAGATGACAGCAACCGATGGTTAGAGACCTTGAATGACATGGCTCAAAATCGTTTGCAATGGCGAAGATGCATCCACTCTTTGTGTTCTACCAAATTCTAATCTTCTGAATTCCTCATGTCTTTATATTTTTCTCTTTCCAAATTTATTTCACTGTACTATACTCCTTCAATAATTTCTTCAAACCCTAATCTTTTGGATTTCTGATTATACTCCTACTACTTCTACCACTATGGGATTTGAATCGACAACTGCATCTCTGTGCTAATGTCGTATGACAGCTCGAACTGATGTACGTACGTACGAAGTTCTACGTTGTGACTGACTGATTTTTAGATGTATATGAAGTTGATAACCATCAGACTGGGGTTCTATGTCTGTTTAAAATCAGCACAGGTCCTAGATAACAAAATCGATCATGTTCAATCTAGTGCAAGTTTTCTTCTATATATAGTTTCATTCAAATACAGGTTCTAAGCCAAAGCGTTTATGGTTAGTGTTACTCTATACTCGTCTAAACCGTAATAATACAAATGCACATCGTTATCTTGATGCTGAGCATTGGTTTTTAGTGTGAATAATCAACCTTTTATCAAGTACATTCAGTTGATTAGTGGAATCATATTTTCTTCATTGGACTGACGTCTCTACTCGCTTTTTGAAAAATATGCAATATATTCTATTCATCGTATTTTTATTTCAGGTTTTACAATGTACATGTCGAATGAAGATAACTCAAATGTTTATTAGAACAGTGAAAATAATACTAACAATAGTCCAGTTGTATTACGCTTCATCTGTTTCAATGAATTTTTGCCAGTAGATTTGAAAATCTGTAACAACTCATTGTTTTATCAATTGATGAAATGTCTTCTTTTCAAAAAGCACTTGAAAATCTTAATGAAGGTACAATATGTATTAGTGTATGTGTTAGTGTATGGCTGTTATTAATTGCGGCTAGGATGGATAATGTCTTAATAATTCCTTATTGGACAATATTTATACCACTTTGGTTGTGGAAAACAATTGTTTTTGTCGGCTGGTTAGTTGGTTTAATAGTATGGTGTAAACGTTGGAGAATTCGTGTTGATGATTCAGAGCATAGTACATTTCTTGTTCGTGATGACCCTGCTCTACCTTACATTCAAGCAATGTCTGTATCAGCATTTTTTCACTTTCTTATCACATGTTCTGAAGTGTTATTATGCATTCATTTATCAATTGAATCATCTAATCTTACATATTTAACTATTTTATCACCATTACTAGTTGTTGGTGCGTTGGGTGTGTTTGGATTTCTTTTTGTTATGATCGACTCAAGAGCAACATTCACAGCAAATGCACGACGTCGAAGGCAACATCATTCACGATCCTTAAATAACAATACCGGTAATACTACTATTACTACAACGACTACTACCATTACTAGTACCAACACTATCAACAATAATACTACTACCAACAATAATTCAGATTCATTTGTTTTCATACCACGCTCACATCATGCATGCTCGTTTACCTTAGAATTATGTATCGCTGCTAATCTATTACAATTATTATTTTTAATTGCTAGACTTGACAATTGGATACGTTCAAATTGGATTGTCACTTTTATCCCATCATTTATATTATTAGCAATGGGATTTTTATTTTGTTTTGCTGGTTTAACTATTGCACTAATCACATACTTTACAGCCTTCTTTATTCCTGTAGCTCAACGTAGATTATCTGTTTGTTATTATGCTTCACATTTGCTAATAGTTATTTTCTTATGTACTTCATTAATCCTTTTAGGCTTAAGATTAGATGGTTATCTTTCTGCTTCAAAAAGCAGTGCACTAATAATTTGTATACCTGTATTGTTTAGTATGTTCTTATATGCTTCGTTATCATCTGGTCCTGGTAATCCATGGTGGTTCGGTTTGAACCGTAATGTACTTCTAGCGATATTTGAATCTTGTCCAACTCTACAATTGTGTGCCAATAATCATATTAGTAAAACTAGTCTGTGGAGAGTATCTCGTTACCATGGCGGTAATGGTGATATGAATAACACATTGAACGCAGATTCTTATGATGGGAATTCTGTTGGAGTTGAATTGTAAGTTTTCTGCATAATTCTGTTTCATTTTATGTTTACGAGGTTGTCCTGTTAAGTTCTGGGTTTGTAAATCTCAAATATCGAGTAGATCCGTACTAAAGTTATATATAGCTATCGCTTGTACAAAACAAAGCCACAACAGTTGCATTCCAAATGAACCTCAACAACTTTCAGCTCCTTAACACCGATGTTTTTTTATTTTTACTACTCATCGTTGATATCAGTCATTGGATAAATTTGTATTTTTTATGCAAGTTTTTTCTCTTTCTTCTTATGACCAACTGGTATATGTGTTTCTGTATCGATTGGTTCAGATCAGGCTATGGAAGTCATTTGACTGAAAATCTGTCATTTGTACATCACTAACTGTCTTCACATCCGTTTATTCAGCTGACTAATGACCCCGCCAGATAATCTCGAGATAAGAGTTAATTTTAGTTGTCATCAGTTTATTCCCCAGTTCTCCCTTAAATTCAATCAATAGTTCTATCTTACGTTCGAGCATAGATAAGTTTCCCAAATAATGCTATTTTGCCCCAATATATATTCTTAGGCACCTAATCAGTGTGTGATTAAAGTACAAATACTTAGTCTATAAATAGTAACAAACTCCCACTGATTCTCAGTGATTACTAATTGCAAGATTAACATTTTGGCAGTCATTCCTGTCTGTTTATTTGCCAAATCAATCAGACAATTAGCTAGTTTTCCAAGATTGTGTGGTAAGTTAGTTGTAGGTATAAGCGAGGTTTAATGAGTGAAAAGATCATTCATTTTACCAAGATCAGTACCCCGATGTCTATTTGTAAATACGTGTGAACTGTAAGTTTATCTGTTCGGTATCTTACACTATCCTCTAAGCAGTTTTATCTCCATCCTCTATCTCAATAGGTTGGTTAAACATTTAAAAGTATCCATAGTAATCAAACCGGACTAAAAACAGTGACGCCAGTCTTATCAACAAATTTGTAACCTGATGACACAAATTCAAAAATAACTGTTTTAGTTAGCATTTCTAGATCGTCCAATAACTAGGGAAAATTTAAATATCGGCCTGTCTCATATTGTTTAGAAGCCAATTTATCTTTGGTGTATTCCATTATCCTTCTACATAAACTTGAAGTAACCCAACAAATACAGGCTTGTGTTTAAGTGTACCATTTTTTAGATTTCTCTTTCCTTTCAGTCTTTCATTGTATTATGTAGTTATCTTCATTAATCATAAAAGTTGTTATTTCGTAACTGTAACACAGCTTGCTATTCATATATAAGAAAATATTTCATATGCAATAATGAAAGTCGCAGTACAGAAATATCAATTAATTGATTACCCTTATAAATTTATTAATTATCATTTACAAATATTCCTTCCTTCGTTTGTTATTCTTGTTTTTAATTCAGTGTTAGACCTACTATAACTACCACCAATCCACCTGTTACTGTTGCGCGTGAACTAACTAATTCACATAACTTAAAATTTTGTCCAAATTGTTCAGTTGGCTGTTGTAATTGGTGTTCATCATCATCACCATCATCATCAACAACTAGTAAGAAAAATATCCACTGGTCAAATGTCAATATCTCGTCAGAAATTTCTCATTTTTACAACTCTTTTCATTATACAGATCATTTACTTTATCCAGATTAAAACTGGTTCTACGCAGTTATTATGATGATCATTGTCATCATCACTATCAACATACACTATTTCTCCTATTTGTAACTAGTAATCACAAGGCTGTATTTCATGCACACTTGTCCATATATATATATAATAAATCACTTTCCTGTTCCCGATTTTTTTCATTTACTTGTAGAATTTCCATCTTATCATTATCATAGTCACTACAAACAACTTATTCGGGATAATATCAAAGCATTTCCCCCTGGGTTTTCTTTTGTAGAAATTAGTTGTTACTTCCTTTCGTTCATATTCTATTTATTGATTTGTCAACTGATTTCCTTCATCGAACATTCATTTATCTTCCTTCTTGTTTATTTTCAATTTTAATTTATGTCTTTGAATTTGTTTTAAAGGTCAGTTGAAGTAATCACCATAGGATATACATAGTTTTGCGTATATTTTGCGTAGTTGTATTATTCTTCATGTTTAGGTGTGAATACATGTATACTAATCTAAATGTATGTTACAATAATCGTATTTTACAGCCTATTTTGTGATATTTCGTTGTTCGAATTATTATTATTATTATAAATAACACCATCTAAACTTTTTTGTCTAGTAGAGAAGTTAATCCCAAAATTCAAATGGTCTACTTATCCTTATTACTAATTTATTCGTTGAGAAACAGTTAGTAGTACAAACAAATGGTTCTATTATCATTGATAAATTAGTTATTTTTTCCCTATTCAAGTTATATTTAGTATGAATAGTGAGAATCAATGTAATACCTGTATGTTGTATTGTATTGATCAAATATGAAGAGTTTGAATCTTTTAAGAGGTTTCCAAGTATTCATCATTGAACTCTCGGGTAAATTTACTTTCTGTAAATTAAAAATTATTGATAAAACAAGGAGGAGAAATCATAAATTATAAATGACGATAATTTAACTATACTTTATGTGAATTATTGTTTTTTAGTTTGTCGATGTTGTGAGATGTAAATGGTTCATAGTTATCATTATTATTATTCCTGCGAAGATTATTTACATAACACATACTAACATTTGTAGATGGCTTCATTCAAATTCTTTTCCATTGACCTAGATATTTATTTATTTGAACACATAAATATTGGCACAAAGGGGCACCAGATATTTGAGTGAGGGCTGTGATACTGCCCGGGCACCCAAACCGAAGCACATGGTTTTATTAGGAGGTTATTCCGTGAGCATTTGACCTACAGGTCTAATCCAAAAGGCAGTGGAGCATCGTAAGGAGATGCAGTCCCATGGTAGCCGGTGACCAACGATTGATTCATGCGCCATTTGTTCCCTCAGGATACTGGAGCCCATGTGCACCATTGGTTTGGAATCAGGGTTTCCCAATTCCCCTAGGTGGACTTTCCGTGTCCACCAACTCGGTGAAAGCGCCAGACATTCGCTTTTCGTCCTCTCAATTTCGTAAACAACAGTAGTGCCACGAGAAGGCATTGAGTAGGACTTCCCTGGAAATGACTGTATACACGTGACCATGTGAGAGCATTTTGAATGGGAAAGCGGACTCTCCCCACTCTCGGCCGTACCAGAGCATTTGGGTAACTTCATTGCATAAAACAATTTAACCGATGGAACAGATACCAACTTAGAGCGCAATTAAAAAGTAAGCGACACAGCAGCTACCTCGTTTTATTATTAGATTGCATCACAGTGCTCAACGTTGACTACGTACTCAATTAAATTAGGGATTTTTGAGATCACTGAAATAATAAAAACATCAAATCAATAAACTTGCACTGCATTATATATGTGCAATACAAAATCTAATCTCTGTACTCTTTGTTTACTGATTGTCTAAGTAGACATCTTTTTCATATGTTTTGTTTAGTATCAAAGATATTCGTGTAACCCAGATCCGGGAATCATTAATATTTCATTTAGTCACACAGTATGATTATTTGTTCTTGAAGTATATTGTCATTCTCCATGTAAGATTTCAGTCTTATCCAAATAATATAGAATGTCGATATAATATTTTTTAAATAACTTAGAAGATTTATGTATGCGGAATAAATTCAATCCGCCTGTAGCTCCTCTGGGGGTTACTGCCGGTCCCAAGCCCGGGTAAAGGAGGAGGGTTGGGCATGGGGTTAGCGACCCCATCCCGTAGAAAATCAACTCGCTAAAAAAAACGCTAACCAGAAAAAATCTTTCAAACTCTGCCCTGGGAGTAGAAGGAATAATTATGACGTCTCATGATGAAAGCCGAGTTCCTTCGGAAGTCATGAGGCCGATGCACCTTCTTACAACCAGAGCGACAATTTTTATAGGTACATGGAATGTCCGAACAATGTGGGAGACCGGAAGAGTCTTCCAAATTGCTGCAGAAATGAGAAAATACAACCTGTAGGTTCTTGGAATCAGCGAAACACATTGGACGCAGGTCGGACAACAACGACTGTCTTCAGGAGAACTTCTGTTATACTCCGGTCATGAAGAAGAAAATGCCCCACATACACAAGGAGTTGCATTGATGCTGTCCAGAAAAGCACAAAATGCACTTATTGGATGGGAATCTCATGGACCAAGGATCATCAAAGCCTCCTTCAAAACAAAGAGAGAGGGCATTACAATGAACGTCATCCAATGCTATGCGCCTACCAATGACTACGATGAAGACGCTAAAGACCAATTCTACGATAGGCTGCAGTCGAGAAGTGCCCAACCAAGGACCTGACAATTCTGATGGGAGATCTCAATGCTAAGGTTGGAATGGACAACACTGGATACGAAGACGTCATGGGACAACATGGACTGGGAGGAAGGAACGAAAATGGTGAGAGATTTGCTAACCTATATGCCTTCAATAAACTGGTCATAGTTGGCACCATATTCCCACACAAAAACATACACAAAGCCACTTGGATTTCACCGGATCACACTACACAGAATCAAATCGACCATATCTGCATCAACAAAAAGTTCAGGAGGACGATGGAGGATGTGAGAACCAGGAAAGGAGCTGATATAGCATCCGATCATCATTTGCTGGTCGCCAGGATGAAACTAAAACTTAAGAAGCACTGGACAACGGCGCGGACAACATCACATAAGTTTAATACGGCCTTTATTTGAGATGCTGACAAACTCAACAAATTCAACATAGCCCTCAGTAACAGGTTCCAGGCCTTTTATGGTCTACTCAATGGAGAGGGGACTACCATGGAGAGCAACTGGAAAGGTATCAAGGAGGCAATCGTTTCAACGTGTCAAGACGTTTTGGGCCAAAAGAAGCACCATCACAAGGAATGGATCACTGTTGGTACACTGGATAAGATTGAAGCAAGGAGGAACAAGAAGGCAGCAATCAACACCAGCCGAACCAGAGCGGAAAAAGCCAAGGCACAAGCCGAATACACAGAGGCAAACAAGCAAGTGAAGAGGAACATCAGAACCGACGAACGTAAATATGTGGAAGATTTAGCAATGACAGCGGAAAAGGCTGCAAGAGAAGGAAACATGAGACAACTGTATGATACGACAAAGAAACTTGCTGGAAATTACCTTAAGCCAGAAAGACCAGTGAAAAGCAAGGAAGGCAAAGTAATCACCGACATTGAAGAACAATGAAACAGGTGGGTAGAACACTTCAAAGAACTCTTGAATCGACCAGCACCACTGAACCCACCCAACATCGAAGCAGCACCCTCGGACCTTCCAATCGATATTGGCCCACCAACAATTGAAGAGATCAGCATGGCCATTAGACAAGTCAAGAGTGGCAAAGCAGCGGGACCAGACAACATCCCGGCAGAGGCACTGAAAGCAAATGTAACAGCAACTGCCAAGATACTCCACATCCCCTTCAGTAAGATTTGGGACGAAGAACAAGTACCAACAGACTGGAAAAAAGGACTTCTGATCAAAATACCAAAGAAAGGCGATCTTAGCAAGTGCGACAACTACAGGGGCATCACTCTTCTCTCAATACCAGGAAAAGTCTTCAACCGAGTATTGTTAAACAGGATGAAGGATTCCATGGACGCCCAACTTCGAGATCAACAAGCTGGATTTCGTAAGGATAGATCGTGTACAGATCAAATCGCAACTCTACGTATCATTGTGGAACAATCAATCGAATGGAATTCATCACTCTACATCAACTTCATCGACTACGAGAAGGCATTTGATAGCGTGGACAGGACGACACTACGGCGTGCCTGAGAAGATAGTCAATATCATACGGAACTCCTATGATGGACTAAACTGCCAAATCGTCCACGGAGGACAACTCACCGACTCGTTCGAGGTAAAGACCGGTGTTAGGCAAAGTTGCCTACTCTCACCCTTTCTCTTTCTCCTGGTGATCGACTGGATTATGAAGACGTCAACATCTGGAGGAATGCACGGGATACAGTGGACAGGCAGGATGCAGCTTGACGATTTAGACTTCGCGGATGATCTGGCTCTTCTATCACAAACGCAACAACAAATGCAGGAGAAAACGATCAGTGTAGCAGAAGCCTCAGCAGCAGTAGGTCTCAATATAAACAAAGGGAAAAGCAAGACTCTCCGATACAATACAATATGCACCAATCCAATTACACTTGACGGAGAAGCTTTGGAGGATGTGGAAATCTTTACATATCTGGGCAGCATCATTGATGAACACGGTGGATCAGATGCAGATGTGAGGGCGCGGATCGGCAAAGCAAGAGCAGCATACCTACAGCTGAAAAACATCTGGAGCTCAAAACAATTGTCAACCAACACCAAGGTTAGAATTTTCAATACAAATGTCAAGACAGTTCTTCTGTATGGGGTAGAGACGTGGAGAACTACGAAAGCCATTATCCAGAAGATACAAGTGTTCATCAACAGCTGTCTACGCAAAATACTTCGGATCCGATGGCCAGACACTGTCAGCAACAAGTTACTGTGGGAGAGAACAAACCAGATTTTAGTGGAGGAAGAAATCAGGAAGAAGCGCTGGAAGTGGATTGGGCACACTTTGAGGAAATCACTCGATTGCGTCACAAGACAAGCCCTCACATGTAATCCTGAAGGTCAAGGGGAAGAGAAAGAACACATTACGCCGAGAAATAGAGACAGATATGAGAAGAATGAACAAGAACTGGATAGAACTAGAAAAGGAAGCCCAGGACAGAGTGGGTTGGAGAAAGCTGGTCGGCGGCCTATGCTCCATTGGGAGTAACAGGCGTAAGTAAGTAAGTAACTTAGAAGATTTATGAATGCGTAATAAATTCAATCTAGCTAGCTACTTTCATTGCTTAGTAGTCGCTTACAAATTGTAAATTACAGAAACTACATATAAGGCTAAATAAACGTATTGACGTAGAAAGTCAGTTAAAAGTTAACCTAAATGCATTTCATCTTGGTGTGATGACCATCCAAGTTGAAAAGATCATATCTAAAAAAATATTATGGAGAGGTGAAAATGAAATCAAACCACAATTCTTTAATATTCGGTAAGACGATATATAACTTAGATTATTTGTTAAATAAATAGGTTGAGCATTGACTAAGTTGGAAAGTGATCTTGCTCTAGATTGGAAGTTTTCTAGTGTTCCGGGGTATTATAAATTTATTTTTTTAATGTCATAAAATGCAGAATAGTGTTTGTCTACACCACTGGTTTTATTTGATTGATAGTTTTTCCAAAATTTGGTTAGCTTAGATCGCATTTGACAGATCAGGCTGTTGTGTTTGTTCACAGATAGTTAATTGTAGTGCCTGAAATGAGTGGGAAGATAGAAATCTGATGATTCCTAACAGTGGAAATTGCTTTCTTCTTGAAAATATTAGTTAATCTGAGGAATGGGGATATACTAAAACATCCAGCACTAAATGTATGCTATTTGACAGGAAGTAACCATCATTAAAAAACAAAGAATTGCAGATTACTTTCATGAAGGACATTAAGTTGTTCATATAACATTCCCCTATCATTTTTAGAAAAATGTTTTATACATATTTGTAGAAGATAGACACTGCGATCTCATCAGTTGATATATACCTTATTTTGTACAGTTTGCTTGGCTGACGTATACCAACGAAGGTCATGGTAATATATGGTATGCAAAAATTATATATGAAATTATCCCAGCGACTGAAGTTTAAATAATTCCAACGTTTCGTCTGGTAATCTTGTCTAGACTTTAGGGTAATTATCAAAGAATATATGACGCCTTACAACCATATCAGATCTATACCATGCTTGTTCAATCACATTGAGATGCTGAATTTAGTAAATAGGATAACATGAGTCAGTTGTATATTAATCTTGTTGAAATTTCACAATGTGAAAATAAATGAGTAATGTGTGCGTATGTGTAAGTGATGTTGTTACTTCAATCGAATGAATTATCGCGTTCAGGAAAAAGGTTTCTGTTATTATTTGCATATGACACATGGAGAACACCGCCTGAATATTATGGGGCGGAACACTGCCTCGGGAAAGAAATGATAATTTGTTGAGGATATAAATAGTAATAGGTCTTCGTGTCACTATTAATATTAGCTCTCAGTTTAATGAACCATTTCATCCGTATTAAAACGATTTACCTGATATTTGCATCTTAGTCCAAGTATGTGTTATAACGGTCCGTTTTCCTTTTTACACGAATGAGAAGTTAATTTACCTTAGATAAATATCTACTCTAGATTCCCTCGCAGTGTCTACTCTACAGGACTTCAACACAACTCAGATCAAGAACACATGATTAGCCTGACTAGAACGTAAATATATTTCCACACCGAAACCGACACAATCCAACAATAAATAAATAATAAGGATAGACGAATTTTTAACTCATCTGACATCTTTCAGATTATCTACATGTCTGACTAAGCAAACAACCAGTCATTATCATTCTCACCCATACATCATTATGTAAGAGGATATTAAAAAGCAGATCCGAATAAAGATCACATGGTTTTTCCGTGTTTCTCAAACAGCCAAAAAAGTGAAGTATTTGAAGAGATCTGAAAAATGATGGGGAGTATTAACTAAGTGTTGGTAAGACTATAATTTGATGATGCTTAAACGACTTTAAAGCAACTGTGGAGATAGGCATAATAAACCTATTTTGTAAATAGTTTTTGATGTTATTTGCATTTACTTTGTTAATTCTTACAGTCTGTACATTTACCACAAAATGACTGTACATGTTGTTTAAATGTATGACCTTGAACACACACCTTTCCGTTTTGTATTGCTCATTGCATGACACACGTTAACCGCTCGTAGACATACTACTATACACACGTCTCATGTTTTTCGTTGTTTGTGGTTACGATAACTGAACTCTGAAGCATCTTTCATCTACATTTATAGACTAAGGTGACGTTTCCATTATATTCTACGTTTGGCTATATTACTGGAACCATGTCTACCGCACTGGAATTAATTATCTATAATTATGGATTATGGTACCAAACGCAACGGAACACGCACCAACCTGCTGACCGAAGTAACGTCCCTTAAATTTTATTTGTGTTTATAACTTATAATTTGTATACTATAATATTAGCATTTATACATAATAACTTTGTTGCTATTTTTGAGTGAATATAATTTTTTGTCCACCACACACCTCTACACAGTATGGGTCGAAAGAAGTTTGCAATTAGTATGAGAAATGATGATTAACATTTGTGTTTTCAAACTAAATTGAGAGATTTAATCAAGAACTGACGTTTGCTAAAATGGCAAAATGCCGTATAGTTGTAAAATGAATAAGTTCCGCGACGAAGTATTAGATCAGCCGTCCTAAATCTCATTGATCCCTTCACAAATTAGTGTCGCCAAATTTTTACTTTCTCCCTGGGACGTAGAATATTTTGAGGGGATTTCTCGAGTTAGGGTAAATTTACAGACATATTGGGACAAGGTAGACCTTTCAAAGTTTGCACGCAAATCTTGTATTCTGTGTGGAAATATAGCATGTGGTAGTTCAACTAATTACAACAGTAGTGGAATAAGCTGAAAATCCCTACACAGCATTCTGTTGGGCAGTATTTTCATTTAATTGTTTGTTCACCCTCTCTTGTATTTTAATCTTTATTCAGGTCTCTTTTAACCGCGCTTTATAATAATAATAATATATTCTGAAAATAATATTTACAGAATTCACACCAGTTTACAGGCATGATCAGATTGTTATAAAAATCAACATTTGATGTAGAGAGCAAACATGAAATATAAGAAAGTTTTATGTTTGCTGGTTTAGTAATTGATAAATAGTTTAAATATGGCATATGTCACGGCAAGCCAATGCAACACCAGGGAACTTGTCCTTTTTTTATTAAGTGGATAGCCTGATGATTGATCAACATTGTTCTGTAAGGTTATTTCCAGTGCCAGAGAGAGTTATTATTAATTATCTACAACTAGAGAAAGTAAGATTAAAGCAAAGAGCGCGGAACAACAAAACAATGATAGCAAGTAAGAGGTTAAACATTTAAAGTTCCGATAATCTCACTTGTGGAGTAAGATACACTTGCAGGCGCTAGAGCATTTAATGCATTTTCAGAGGAGCAAAAGGCATTAATTGAGCGAACAAACAATGGGAGAGAGTTTAACATACGGATAGTTTGAGGTAAATTATTCCAGAGCCTAGAAAACTTACAGGCAAAGTAATTCATATAAAGGGAAGATCTAGAATATGTTTGTTTGGCTAAAGACAAGGAGTTACGAATGTCGTAATGTGAGGCCTTAGCATATTGAATCGCCTGGCTGGATGTGAAGGAGAATTTGTTAAGTATTTTGAAAAAGAAGATAAGGTTAATTTTGAGTCTCCTCTTCCATAAACGTCAAGCCCTAGTTTACTACACCTCGAATTATATGTTAAGACACTATCAGTTAAAAGAGTACGAAGTGTAAATCGTCTCTGTACTGATTCCAGTCCTAATTTATCTTTTATGCGCGTGCTAATAAGAAGAAACGCGCAGTATTCGAGGAGTGGTCGAACACAGACTTTATACATTAGAATACGAGATTCGCTGTTATGAAGGTTTCGAGTTATGAAACTTATAAGGCGTTGAGACTTGGACGTTTGTTTCATTATCTGTTCAGTAAACGACAAGTCGTCGGAGTACCTATGTTCTAGATCTACTACTGAGTGTAACCTAGATAACATTTCACCATTGATGGTTAGATCGAGGTTGAGTGATGTATCACCGAAGTATAACCAACCACATTTAGCTGTATTAAGCTCCAATTGCCATTTCGAGCACCACTGTGCTACATTGTTAAGCTTTTTCAGTCTTCCGCGTCCAAGCTTTCATCATGCGGCTCTGGTTGGAGATTTACTTTTTGTTACGTAACTCTACTGTTGCATATTTCCGGACCATTGACAATTAGGTCGTGTTTGACTTAACTCGAGGTTGCGGTGTGGTTCGGCGTATGACTGTTAACCAGTGACTGTCTGCTTGGAAAGGTTGCTAGAGGTTTTGCACATGGACATGTGATCCCATCTTGTCAGGAATACTTTTATTCATTCTCAGGTGTCGGAATCATTTTATTAATTATTTTTTTGTTGTTTAGCACGTTAGTTTGTGCTAGAGAAATCCTTGACTGCATTGCATAACTGTACTGTTTGAGGTAATTTGTAATTTCGATATAATTATTTCTCTTTATAGGTTTAAAACCGTTTAGACTGAATACACAGTTTGTGTTGTGATATAATTTAATACGAATCACTCAAAAACGCTTCGTACGCTATTCAGAAGAACTTAGTCTGGCTTAATCCAATAAACTTTGACTCGTTAGTTCTGTGTTTAACCAGAATATTGTTATTTCGTCTGTACAGTTCTCAAAAGAGCAGTAATCACTTGACAAACGTTGGAATCCCTGGTAAGTCGGAGAATTCAAGTATAGACGGAGGGAGCAATTACTATATTTTCATTGAGAGTTTGGGTCCTTAAGGCTGAAAGAGATCATGAGTGGTGCTGTATATTCTGTTTTCAATTGTAATGACAGACGACAGATGTATGTTTGCCCTTCTTCTTTCACAGTGAATTTAAAGAGAGGTTTTCACTAGAAAAACCGGAAACGTTAGACTTTCCAGAATAACAGAAGAGGAAAGTAATTATGTCATCACTTAGTATGGATTTTCAGCTTCTGAAGGTAGAATTAAGCAATTTTGATGGACGATCAGAGAACTTCCGTAAACTTGCCAGACAATTTGACCTGCATGCTGTGTCCGAAGTCACAAATGATGGTCAACGGCTCTTATTTTTGTTGCCTAATAGTAAGGGTGAGGCCTCATGAGACCACAGAGGAACGCATCATGCTTCCACCACCGTCTGGTTATCGTAGGGCATCCGATATACTGAAACGGTTGTTTTGCGAAACACACGAAGTTAGTCTGGCCTTGCTAAAATGTTTGATCGAAAGTTCTATAGAACACAATGAGTGTGAAACTCCGTCTAGGCTAGAGATAAAAGTGAGAAACTTTTCTGTAGTATCTTAGCAAATGAACTACTCAACGGGTCTCAACTTTATAGGAACTCTAGGATGCATAGTAATGAAGTTTCATCCGACGTTGCGATTGAAATGGACTTAAACAATCTGAAGAGCGACAACAAGTTGTCTCGAGGTGACATATTGTGAGTTGACAGAATTCGTATCACCCTGCACAATTATATTACTTAGCAGGTGCAGGCAGATTGCAACAAGTAGTAAACTAATTTTTCGACGAGTCAGCTTGTTTCATACAGTGGCTGTCGTTCGATAAGGTCTCTATCGAGTCATGTAATATGAGAAGAAAGTCATATAACTGACTAGTGTTAAAGATCCTCCACGGTCAAGAATAGGTGAGCGAATGCGGGAAGGAAAATCCTTCTTTGTTTTGAAGGATGCTTTGATGATCCTGGATTAATGAGATTCCTATCTTATAAAAGGCTTTCCGTGCTTGTTTGGACAGCATTGAAGCAATTCCCTGAGTATGTGTGGCATATTCCTTTACATGAACAGAGTGAACCAGCAACCTTCCCGAAAGTAACCTTTTCTGTCCAGCTCGTTTATAATGAGTTTCACCGATTCTTAGCACCATCTAGTTGTATCTCTTCACCTCGATAGCTATTGAGCGGGTTTCCCTGCTCTCGCATATTATCCGAAAATTCCATGCACCTGCATTAATCGTTTCTCTGGTTGTCGGAAAGGAAAACGGTTTCGTGACCTTCCAAGAATCTATGCTTTTAATATGAAGTGTCATAACTTTTCAGGATGAAGACACTTCAACGCGGAGGGCAGAGTTCATTGGTTTATATTTTTAACTCTGGTTAGCAATTTTTGTCAAGTTTGTTTTCTACTAAATGGGATTGCTGACTCCATGCCCGACCCTCACGCGTCGCCTGAGCATGTGATTGACATTAACTCTAGAAGAGCTACAAACGACGTTTTTCTCATATTAGAACCGTTTAAATTGAACACGGATTTAGTGTTTTGACATGGTTTCATGCAAGTCACTCAAAAACACTTCGTACGTTATACATATTCTTACAAATTTGGAATTGTCTCCGGACAAACAACAAGCACTCGAAAGTACAAATCGCAGTAAGTTTATTTTCGGTCAACTAGACTTACTTCATTTGAAGGTAGGACGGAAATAACAAGTGCTAGTAGTTAGTGTATTGCAGCAGCACCCAATAGACACACTTTTTGAAGCACCCAATAGTAGGCAATGAGAAGGTTATTCAAAACATCTCGATTTTTCACTCTTCTGACTTAAGGTCCTTGCTGCGCGGACCACAGACTACATGATAGGAGAGAGATGCTTCGATTTTTTGAAATAATGAAGGGTGGAGGCATTGCGATTAAAAAGTCAATGCTATCCAAAAACTCGTATAAAAGGTATTTCCCCCACCTGCCAAACAATGTGAGGACTTTGTTAAAAACATAAAAGTGTGCAGATAAAATTCACCACAAGTGACATCTACTGTTACATTGGTTTACAAACCAAACTTTTGGGTGCTTTGCTAGTTCTAAACTTAGTGATGTATTATTATTCAGCACTTTTGAGAGATACGCCAAAGCAATCGATTTTATAATATTTTTCTGGTTGACGGTATTTCCGAACTTGCAGACGGAGGGTCTAAGCATCTTAGGTTTGCAAGAAATGTAAAACTAATTGCAGTCTCCGGATTGTAAATTGTAGGCCGTAATATTTAGTGCCAGTAACTTCTGCCAATATTTTCAGTTTGATTGAATCTTCATTGTTCCCTTAGTCACAAACACTTAACTAGTTCTTTTAACCTATAATCCCAGTGACTTATTTTTCGTGAGTTACTCTGTCTTCTTATATTTATTGGACCAAAAGCATGCTTGTCCACTCCACCTTGAGTTATTGCGATTAAGTTTCGGCATTTTCCTCAACTGCGTTTTGGGTTATTTTTTTGTGATTTGTTATCACACCAGTATTTATCCTGTGTATTTTTCGATTTCTTTCCTTTTACATTCTTTAAAGTGGTCTGCTCTATTCAGGAATGTGGGTGACCGAATTGTTTCTTCAATGCGGAGGAAGGAATGTGATGCCGTGATTGCGAAAAGTGTATACCGGTTTAAATAACACCACATAAAAATAATGCTAAAAGCTAACTCTCATCGGCTCTATATATTTTATTGCTCAAGTATGACATCACTAATTGAAGGGGTAATCAGCCTTCTGGCCTTGATCACAATAAAAGTGGATGGGGGCTGGAATGGTTACATGCGTGCTGACAGTGAAGACTGTTTCAGTGTACTTATCGATGATACGGTGCCAAACACCCGATTATGAAACGTCCAAAAGTGAAATCACGTTTAAAACAATTAAAGGGTGAAAACTGTTGTATATTGTTAGCCAAGACTTAACAGTAGTACCTGAAAACTAAAATAAAACCTCCACCTTACCATTAAATCCAGATGTTGCTATTCCGGCTGACGGTAGTTGGAGGATAGTGCTTGAAGAAAGATAATGTGAAAAGTCGCAAACCACTCCCGTTTAGTTGATAAGTCTTTGATAAAATCACCCTTTGAGACTCAGAATACTCCACCGAAGACCTAAATTAAGACAAGACTTTAACTTAGTGTGACAGAAAAACGTTTTATCTAATCAAATGTTGTCGTGAGCGACCAGCTCGAATCAAATAACCGCGATCTAAAACCAACCAAAAGCGGTCTCTCAGTAATAATCAGACAGAAAACGATGACATAATCGAAACCTGAAAACACGAATTTCGAAGAAATCAAATCCGTCCTTAGTATAATTATTTGGAATCTCTGGGACTTCACAGAAAATTACCCTATCAGAAAACATGCACACCATTTGGAGTTGATTGAACTTGGCATCAGAAATGTACCACCACAAAAGGTCTAGGGAATACATATTGCAAAAGTATTAAGACTCAGTAAGCGGGTTGCAGGTGAAACCGAACAAATAACGGTTTCGAAATAAGTACTTACACGTTACAAGTAAAGATACGTTACAATAAATAGCCGATACGAAACCAGTAAATGGAATATTTATATTTGAGTAGAACGTCACTTGAGGGTCGAATCAAGTACGACTTTGTGAGTTAGAAACTCTAAGCTTAATATCGGAGAAAACTTTAAGATACAGAGTTTTTAATTGTTAGGTCTTAAAAGCCGATGCTTCAGAGACCTTTATGAGTGGAACATGTTGTTCTCAATATACCTTAAATGTGAACTGCACAAACGCTCGTAGTCCGAGAAATAATAATATTTTATTTCCAAACAACAGTTTGTTATATGAGACATGCCGGTTTACAGGCAAGATCAAATCGAAGAAGTTACAACTTTCACTGTAGAGAATTACTCAGCTGGGTTGATATTTTATAAGATATGAGTGTGCAAGGATTTCGTAAGAAACATGTCAATATCACACTTGGCACACTTTATGAAGGTAACGTTGCAACATACACCTGATGGTCGAGAATATGTTCATGCGAAGTTAGGGGCTTTTAGAAGTTTCGACCTTATTTCCCTCCGGAATATCTAAGGCTTTAATAACGGTGTAGGATGAAGTCACCCGTGCCATATCTGTTTTCGGTGGGGTATCTCCACGGGGCTGAAAAAGGTGTAAGAAAAAGGAAGGACGAAATACAGAGCACACAATATTCATGGAGGAGTAGTTAAGGTATAACTATTTAGCCTATTTGTCTGTTACCGAAGTACTTATTAAGTAAGAGCATACTAATAAGAAACTAAGTGTGAACATGGCATGAGTGGATAAGGAACTGCATAAATGAAGGTAGTTCAGAAAGAAGTATGGAATTGTGTAATTATAAAATAAAGTGTTTTTAGATTTTATAGGGTATGGAGTGGGCTTCGTTTTTAGCCATCCGAGCTAAGTTTGACGATCGATGGAATAAGTGTCCACATACTTGCTGTCACAGAAACGTGGCTCATCGTAGGTATAAACTGTTCCCCTACCACTGCAAGAGACATCTGTATTAGAGATGATATAGTTATAAATCACTAGGGAGGAGGCTTTATATTGTGTTAAAGATAACTTTAGTGCATAGCTGAGCATATCAGAGGTGCATGATAGGGGTGTTAGTGAGGCAGCCTATCGTACATTTAAATTTTGACATGGATTAGTGAAGATGGAATGGACATACAATAGTCCTTGTTGCTTTACTAAATACTTTTTCTTGAAATAGGGCCAATCACTGCCACATCGTTGACATTTCAAAGAGCCACTTATCAATTGGATAGAGCTCACAACTCCAGGTTGATACTCGACAGCACTTTAACGATAACCATTATTCACTGTGTACTTATGCCATGTACCACAGGACTGACACACATTGATTTTGAACACAAACCGTCGTTGCTGGACCCTGTATTTTTAGACCACTGGAATGATATTATTCAAATTCAGTACACTTTCGCTATCAAAAAGTGATCTCGTTGTATCGTACTGTGAGTTTAGGACACATGATATGCAGTATTATTTCCACAGCGTCCAAATATCTGTAAGCTGACATTCTGGCAATTGGAAACTGCATCATCTCGAAAGATTAGTCGGCCAATTGAGTGGGAGAAGTCTAAATTTACATTCCAGTCCTCAATATCACCGTTAACCTTATGGTCAACACGTAGACTGTCATACTGCCCTCCAAGGATCGATAAAGAAACTAGAAAGCTGCTGAGGCGTAGGAAACACTTTCGGGTTCTGTTTTTGTCTTGAGGCTACCAAACTTTCATGTGTAAATATGGAAAAATTGACCTCACAACTTTGCTGCAGTAAAACCCCTCCCTCACCTATACGTCATGCTACACATCACTTGCAACTGCTAGCCACAAAATCCCCCTATTTTGAAGAAAAATTCTGTCTGTTTTGGGGAAATTTTGAAATAGCTAATATAGAAAATTTCACAGAGCTGCAGTATACACCTAACGCTTCTCGACAGATCAAGCAAAGGTCAAAGTGAAATAGAGGGTATATTTTGTTTAAAAAAGAGTAATATAAAGGAAATGCGTCATAATGTCTGCTTTTCCGCATGCCATGGGGAAGTAATGTAGATTTTTACATTTTCGCGCTCCACATTTGAAATGTCTCTGAATTGTCTACTTTTCGTCCGAATTCACACCAAATCATCCACTTTCCCCCTAATTCCCACTCTACGCTCGATTACACGCTTTTTTCCACTTTATTGTAAACCCTAATGTCTCCTACACTCTCTTTTATTTTCACAACAAACCACACGACGGCTGCAATCGACTACATTAAAAAACGGTACATGGTTACAGACATTTATTTACAAAAACAACACCATGTTGTTCAAGGAAATTAATGTCACAGATGCTAGAGCACCGATCGTTTTGTATTTTACTTATAAGCATCAAGTCCTGATGCCATTTGCGTAGATGTGCAAACGAAACTACAAGCAATGGGTTATTAATAAAGAATATGTCTTTGTCGGTAAGGGTATATTAAATAAAACAGACTTTCACAACATACAGCTCATTAGTTCAGGAGTTTAATATGCAAATCGGAAATTCAGCACATAGTAAGAAAAAGGTTTAATAATGATTAAGTCAAACATCATTATTTCAATGATGATGTCTTTCCTTAGCTTCAATGTTGCTGTTAGGAACCAAAATAATAACCCTGTAAATTCCGACGTTTAATGAACACAAAAGTTTACAACAATATCAGGGATGACCAATTATCATCTGGTTGGGCACTGTTCTGCAGGTGCATATTCACAACGTTCATAGGATAGAGACAAATTTTTTTAGTTCGAAATTCACTGTTTAGTCGCAATTAGAACCTGTCTCCTGCTTAGTGCATCTGTAAGCTGGAACTGTTGTTAGTCAGCTAAACAGTATATAAAAGGTTAGCAAAAGGTTTAATGTGATACCATTGGCAAGAATGAAAAAATATATTCACACGAACATATGTGGCACTTGAACAATTACTACATCCTTAACACAGTTAACGGCAATGCATTTACAGTCAGCACCCCCCTTATGTGCTCATGACTAACTACCGAACACGGAAATATTCCTATGTCACTAGAATGGTTCAGCGAAATAATCATGTGCGTCTGTAAATAGTCTAAACTTCATTATTTCGTTTTCTATATCACTGACTAGCTCAGGCTTTCTATGTACTTTCATTACATTATCTAGCTTAAGTGAAGTTATTTTAGTGTTCTTAAGCATAATCAGTTGTTTCCCGGGGTCAGACTTAACAACTGCTTGTAAAGTAGTGGTCGATATGCTAGCTTTCAGACTACCGCAGAAAGATATCTTCTCTGCAGAACTCTGAGCTGCTTGCTTTGCTACGGCGTAACCGCTATGCACTGATTTCGTATTCTTCCCCATACAAAACCTAAACGGGAAGGCGGAAAAAGAATCTAAAGCTCCATGTGCACGAAATTCATTTGGAAGGTGCTTCAACAAATGCATATTATAAACTAAGTTTCTAGGTCCATAATAACATTCATATCCCTTAAGAAAATTAGGTTAATCACTTCTGACAGTCTTTAGCTCTGCTATGTGATCTTGAATACTCTAACAAACGCATCGCTAATGCCAAACGCTTGAAATTCATCTACAACAGTTGTGGTAAACAATGTTTAAGAATTTCGGGGCCTAAATACAAAAGGGGTAATCGAAACTCGGTCGCTTTCCATACTGAAGCGAAGTCTAGTGCCCGACATTTGAGTTGATAGTCTGAAAGAGTACTTGCGAAACAACTTGATATGAACTTATTTATAATTATAATCACATATTTATTCATGTTTCTAAGTCTTTTGTAGGAGAAATCTACTCAGGTTGATTAGTTTCTTCGTCACACCTCAGTATACCATTTGCATTGGATCTAAAGGGAATGTTCAAACCATATTAACGGCAAGTGTTTCGAAATTGGAAGTTTCGTTGGTGAATTTATTGAATCTTCTGACGAAAACTATCATCAGTTCGCAATATGTATTCACCATTTGGAAACATCAACTTTCCGTTACTGTACCGACCCGATATTACACGCCTATCACAACCTGCTTTCCCATTGTGATTGACTGTGTATATAACACTCGAACGAGCTTGTGTGTTGCGGATTACAACAACCAATTTAATAGCTATGTTATTATTGAACCAAAAACTATGAAGCCCTAGTCGCCCATTTCTTTTAATTCAGAAATGCTGTCCACGGATATTTCTTTAACTTTGGCTGGCTTATTATTTCCTCCATAGATACCTATCATGAACACGTTACTAAGCTTTGGCGCAACGGTGCGTCCTAATATAGGTCATAATTGTCTATTAGAGCCTCTTGAAATCGTAAGTTGTCTACAATAATATACAAGTTCACCGTATCAAAATCACAAGTTCTCAACGGAAGTTCAACATATCTAAGCAGACTGGTTTTTAATCCGAGATAGTAGTAAACATCATGACTGATGAGCTCAGGATGAACACTTGTGCACGTCCGTAAGACACTTCTAATACTGTTTGGTAAATCTGGTACAACATTTCGAAAAGCATTTAGAATGCGATCAGCATGTCTGATAGTTTGACGACTATTTGTCGTAAAACTCATCAATGTCATATTTATCTGTTCTTTCCCGTTTATAGACCTCTGTGAACACAGATAAACGTGATAATTTTCGGCTGCCTAAACCTATAGGAGTAATTAGAGTAACGAAAGCTTGAGCCTATGTTCAAACCAGTGACCGAATCACGTTCAGTCAATATACTGATTGTAAGTAATTCGGTCGTTCCAAAATGTTCAGGTATGGTACAGCTTTTCCTCATAATGCATTATTGAGGTTATCCTGTGAACTGCGTCACTGCATAATAATGAGTATCGATGCCAAATCCAGTGCTTTTAGGTATATGTCCTTTCGAATGATTAACTAATAAAGTAGGTTCATAACAAACTTGTTCAGTCTTCTCGTAAGCCTAAAAGGTTTAGTCGCACCATAATTTCCAGGTCAGTATTAACTAGTAACTGCATGAACAGATAAAAACAGTACGTGATTGACGAGAGAAGGCAAATTTTTAAAAATCCGCATTTGAACATGTAAAGGAATTATCCTGATTAGTTTAAGATCCGACTAGGTTGTTCTGATTGTTTAATCATACAAATAACTCCAGATTAACGTACAAATCCTGGTTACGAATAAACAAATTATCATCCTTGGTGGTAGTTCTCAATCGTATTCACCTGTTTGTAGTATTGGTGTTTCGGTGGTGAATACCTTATTGTTCCATACCAAGGAAATTGAATGTAAGTGACTCATTAAAGATATGTGATGCTTAATTATAAAATAATATAGCTATTATAAACGTACCTGAGGAAACCAATGTCGCAACTTCATTTTATGAGGTAGCCAAAGTTTGAGGATAGTTCACAGTATGACTAGTAATGGATTCAAGTTTGAGTAGTTTCTCAATCGCTACCTTATCTAGAATTAAATTCCGAAACTAATCTTTTTGATTTTAAATTAGAGAACAAATACGAACAGTAAGTAAACTCAGTTTTTGTAAATATTCTGCCTCTTGTATTTGAGAACACTATATTTTTTAATTGCTTAGAACCAGTTTCTTCTGTTTCATCGTTTATTCAAATAATTTTTCCTAAGTATAGTCAATTTTTCTTAGATCATGTATAAGGTAAATAGTGAACTTGTATCTCAGTGGCTCACTGAAATAAGGGTTCTGGATGGAGGTTTTGGAACAGAAAGTCAGAAATTATCGAATCTACAAATAGACGGACATTTAGCTTGGAGTTCCAGATTATTAATGGACGACCCAGAATTAGTTGTTAAAATACACAAGTCGTAAGTTTTGTATTTCCGTTTATCAACACCTATTATTTTTGCTGAATACATTACGCATTGGCTGTAATTAACTCAATATGATTTCATCGTCAAGTCTTAATAAAGGTAGTTGTACTCATAGTTCACCACTCACCTCTTACATATACTAATAGAATTTCCATAAGAAACCAACGTTTTAAAGGGCGGTTTTCGCTGTTGCAGGTTACAGCGACGAAAAAACTTATAACTGCTTAAGTACAATTTTTTGAAGTTAGCATATTGAAATCTGTAGTTGTGGATTCTTTTGTTTCTGATTCATAACTACACCAGTTTATGAATGTAAGAGATTGTATACTTTGGGAGAAGAAAGTCATTATATCACAGTTATCATGTTTAATTCAAACTGTAGATGGCATATTAATCGCATCAAGAGTAATCATCAAATATTCAAATCATTCTGTCGTACCTAGTTTTACATGCAAAATAATTCACTAAAAGATTTATTGATCGGTTTCGCCGTCAGAACAACATATCATAGAGTAAGAAATTTCTGTCCACGATTTTTATCTTTCAACTAAAATTCCTTCCTCAGGTAAGTGTCAGTTGAAAAGATGATTATGTCTACAAATCACCACTTTGTTATTATTAATCCTTGGTAAGGCATTTTAGTTATATTTGCCATGCTATTGCAGAGTTTTCTGATCTTTCAATGCATAATGTTATATTAAAGCTTTTTGCGTGCTGGTTGTGATGTGATTTCTACGAACACTTATCAAGCAGCGCCTTCAACCTTGGTGAAGGCACTTGGTATAAGTGATGGAGAAGCGAAAAACCTTATGCATACTGCTGTACATTTAGCTCAAAGAGCACGCGAGGAAGAAAATAATTCAGTTACTGCAAGCGAATTCCAACGAAAATTGCCTGTTCTTATTGCCGGATCTTTAGGTCCATATGGAGCATGCGCTGCTGATGGATCAGAGTATACTGGGTCGTATGCAAACAAAGTTTCATTCAATGAGCTAGTGGAGTTTCATTTATCAAGAGCAAAAATCTTATTGGAGTCAGGAGTGGATTTCATAGCATGGGAAACTGTTCCACTTTTGAAAGAAGTTTCATCAATATGTGAAGTTATGCACAGACTACCATCAGCATATTGCTGGATATCAGTTTCATCACCAGATGGTGAAAAAACATCCGGTGGAGATTTGATAGCTTCAGTCGCGTGTGAGGTAGCAAAGTGTGAACAGGTATGTCAAACCCTAATCTAAAGTGAAATTAAAATCGTTGTCTCATCAGATGTATATACAGTTTATTAAACTTGGTACTTTATAGGTGAATTTCACTTCAACTATATACATAAGCATAGTAGCTATGTAAGTGAACTGTGCTAAAAAATAATCTCCACCCAAATGTTCAAAATACATGTATTAGAACCAGAGAAATCTAAGTGATGTATTGGTAATTAATCCAGAGACAACACTTCCCACTAGTGATACTATTAAACTGATCAAACTGAAGTACATGATGTGGGGATCTAATCTATTGCTGAGTATGTAATGATAATAGTAATCCTCAAATATGAATTAACAGCTTGTAATCTATTATATATTATAATTTTGTTAACGATTTCAAGTATGAGTGTACTTTATGATGGGATGTTAAACTGTTCATATCAGTGCTTAGTTGTATTTAGTTTACTCACCAACTTATCACACACTAAACACTGATAATACATGTCTAACATTATACTACTAGGTTTTCGGTGTTGGAGTTAATTGTAATATACCACATGATTGTATTGGTAAGGGACTTGCTAACTTAAATTCACAAACATGTAAAGAATCGAAAAATACTTCAAGTAAATTAATATTACTTTACGCAAATGATTGTCAATTATGGATACCTAATGATGGCGATAAAAAGCGAGGTCATTTCGTTAATTATTTACAATACAATCATGACAGTTGGTTTCAAAATACCATTAAATGGGCAAAACGTCGTGAAACTTCAGATGATGAACACTTACATTATTCAGTAAATGATAAACCTCCTTTAGCTCAGTGGGTCGGTGGATGCTGTAATGTTGAACCTGAATGTATAAGACGGCTTGCAAAATGGATGAAACCTGATGAATTTATTAGCTGACTGATGTTTGATATTTGACTAATTGTTAAGATTATATGATTGTACAAAATAAATAATTGTTTGAACTACTTCATTCATTTTTTACTTTGTATGAATTGAGGTTTATATTTATAATTTTCCAGAATAGAAAAAAATGAATAAAGTAGTCTTAAATGAACAGTTCGACCATCAAATGTATCGTGTACTTATTTAATGAACTTTGCGGTAAAAAGTAAAACTTATTGAAACATAAATATTTGGGTAGATATTTTTAAGTAACTAAGATTAAATGTAATGACTGTGTAAGGATGGCTCGTTGGTAAAATCTAGGAAGCCTCAAGAAGCCCAGAAAGAGCCGAAGATATTCCATCCAATCACTGCTAGGGGAATACTCTAGAATATCGACGTGTAGCTTCCCTATTGGATGGATAAGAATGACCCCTTATGTGCCTATTGGTTGCCTGAAATGACGATTTACTCTGAGCCAAAAATTATAAATACATGAGATTTCTGTACTATATTTAGATACTGTTTTGGAGAATAAACTTCCTAATTACTAGTCTTCTGTCTTGCGACGTTGCGGGTTCGATAGTTCAAGTAGTCTAGTAGCACGCTACATAGTAAGAATCAAAGCTCTAGATATAACAAACTGATACTAACTACTACTATACTACTAAGATAAAATAGTAGTATAACCTAGAACAATATATGATGCTCTAGTAATAGTAACTAAATATTCATATCTAATAAAGATACAGAGATACAATGAAAAAGAACATATATTTTTTCTGAAAAATCAAAGAGTATATTTGCACATAGTAAATACAATACATTTGGTAGGCATCTTTTCATGCTACAAGTTTTATACATCCTTTTAATAATTTCCACTCATTACAATCACTTGGATACAATGGTTTCGGATAGAGTTTTGTTCCATCATGATAGGCAAGACTTGAATTTTTAAGACAAAAAAGCATTATTATAAAGATGTTAAGGAGGGTCACATTTTTCAGCTTAAAAATGGTTTGTGAAATAGAGCGATTCCACAAGAGATTAGTTTACTGGTCGAATCGCGAATTCAGACTCAAGGCTGTTAATAAAGGATGTTCCAGTTAGCACCATGGGAATTAAAAAAACGTTCTGTCATATCACAGAGTATGTCAATATCCTGAGCTAAGATTCTGCATAACAATTTCCATTTGGTGATATCATATGAGATCCAAGTCTGCTTAACATTAAAAAAATCATGACTAAAGGTCCTAGAACTTAACTGTTGAATATGGAGGATATAATTAACGGACTACAGTGAAAATGATGTCATATTACTACAATTACCAGCCTACGTGTATCCGTAGCTAGCCGGTGTTACTCGACCATCGGTTTGTCTAATATCTACTTATAATTAAACCAATTATGAGGAACTCCATGTTCAAAAAATGAGCACACTGCAAATGAGAGGTGAACCAATTAGGATTCAAGTATTCAATAGATCTGATTGTCGTGAATCCTATGAATACTTTACACAGACGAAAAATATTCGGTAGATTTTCAAGTGTGACAGAACTACGCAGGGAGCTCAGACAAAAGCAATCAAAAATAGCTAATAGACATTCAAAATAAAATAAAATAATGTCAACTGATCTGAGGGACGACAAAGTACATTCTCAATGTTTGTGAAGATGTACTGTAGATGATGGCTACAGTCTCGTTAAGACTTTTAAAACCGTCATAAACATATTAGAATACACTTATCGCCAAACGTTTATTTTTAATTATTGTAGGATGTAAATCATGCGCACAACAGCTTATTACATGATGAAAAAAGACTAAATTTTGTACCACGCAGAATATGTACTGCAAGTAATGTAGTCAAAGTGTATTCAGATCAATCATATAGTTCACATTTCGGAAGTTTTTGATTGATATTTCAGGTTGAGAGAAAGGATTATTATGTTATCGACAAATAAAATGCTACTCAAATCACTAGTAAATCACCCTTCACTACTACTAAGTTAATCCAAGTTGGGGTTTCGATTTCAACAGCTTTCATCCTCTAATTTTTATTCAGTTAGTTGATTAGTAGTTTTTTTCTATCTTCATAACTATTTGTTTGAAATTCAAGTATTGGTTCTACAAACACATTACCCTTCATCAGATAATTGCATTATAATAACAATACTTTAAAAATCATTTAGTAGAACCTTGTTAACTCTTAGGAAAAAAAAGTTATCAATAAGTAATACGATGTAAGGATACGGTAATCGGATAACCCACAAATATCCATTGTCTAATGTAACATAACCTGGTGATTGGTATTTCTCACTACGAATGGTATCCGAATGTAAATTTATGCTAGATTTGATACGATCTTCATAAAAGTAACCATCATCATCAACTGGATAACTTTGATCATAATCTGAATTTATTACACTATCCAATTTTTTATCACAACATTGATCTAATGTATGTCCTAGGTGAAAGATTGGAGTAAGTTTTGCAGGTCCTGGTCGTATACATGGTTGAAAACGAACTTGAATAGGAGCAGCTGGTATAGCTAAATATATTCGTGATAACTGTGCCATGACAGTTGAATTTTTTGTATAATTAGATGATTTCATTGTACTAGTATTACCACCTACATCCCATTCACTAGTAGGATTAGTGGAATGACGTGTATTACCAAGAAATACATGTGAGGTTGGATGGTGACATTGGCATGGCATGAAAATAGGTAAATCACGTGTTAACAACGAGTGAACGGCTCGTCGAACTTGACTACTTTGCATTGGACCATCCATAATTCGGTCAGTGCCGGTGATAAAGAATCGATGACCCATTGAACATTCCATTTCAAAACCAATAAACAATTTCACTGTGTCTGATTCTGCATAGATATAATTAAGCGATATAAACAATCTTTAATAACTGTAGTCTAAGTCTGAAATTAAACATTTATAACTAATCTTATTCATTTTAAGCTTTACATTTTGAGAAAATCAAGTATATACAATATTTGCAACTAACAGCAAACGAAGTGATTACTTTTGTTACTCAAATTGATGAGCTCTCAAGACATTCATCAAACCAAACTAGTCAAATAAATATTATTATTATCTTCATATTGAAAGACCTGAGATACTGTTAGACTTTTCACATGTATGCTCCATAGATCTGATTACTTATTTACAATACATAAGAATTACAAATGGATTAATAAAGGTTATTACGTAGGTATTGTTACCAAGGTTTGGCTTAAAAATTTATATATATATATATATATATATATATATATATCTTTGAAGAATTAGCTCACACTGAGCAATGAAATTTCAGAAAACTTAATTTTTCTACTCACTGGCATGTTACGCACACACCATTTTCATTTATAAGGGTCGATCATGGTGGCGTAGGTGTATACACTCTTTATCTCCCCTTAAACCTTGAGATTAAAATTGCTCCATATCTGTCTTTCTTCCTATACTATATCCTTATATACAACTTACCACTTATATATCACCACCACCACTAAATTAACTACTTCTATGAATTCGGTGTTCATCTTGTTGTGCTAATAAGTGAGGTATGGCAACTTGGACCGATGCATAAATGTGCCTGGTCCTACGTTGTAGCTGACTGACTGAGTTGTATTTTGTTGCTTGAAACTTTGAAAAATATGTAAATATCATATTGATTTTTTTCACTATTGGTTGATACTTTATCTATGGTTGCCATTTTAATTAATCAAATGTTCTCACAAATGATAATCAACAAAATATACTGCAGTAATTTATGTACAAAAAGGAGAGATTGAAAGTATACATCAAAATCAACTAATCTCATCAGTGGTGTCATTATAAACGATATGCTGCAAAGTGGATTCATAGGTTAATAATATAGTACTAAGGAATCTTGCACTAGGATAAGCCATGTTTGTTTACTGCTTATGTATTCCAAGAGAATAGTGTTTATATCAATATTTTTTCTAAAGCCAATTAGATGTGTAATAGCTTACATGATATATGACGGACTCAATAAACCCACAATTGTAAAATAGCGATAAGATTATATATTGAATTTATTGAATAAGTAATATAACAATAATAGTGGTAATAATAATATTCATTACCTGTTCTACCTCCTCGATATCTTCCTCTTGCGGATTTACTAAAACGTCCACGCTCGGAACCATTTCGGGCATTATTATTATTATTCATTAAAGATACATCCCACGGAAGTAAGAAATTACTGTTACGCATAAATCCTCGACAAGGTAATCCTATATAAGATAAAACAGTTATTGTTTTCATCTTATAAATGCCACATATATAAAAGTAACCAGTTGTTACACTGAAATGGTACAATAACAGCAGACAATAATGAGAATACTGCTAACTATTAATCCACAAAATATTACACATGAAACTACCCTACTTTATGCACTGACCAGTGTAATATATGACTGTAGTCCAAACTGAAGCTGTTTAAATTAAAGATAAGAAGGAAAGCAAGTGAGCAAAACTTCCGATTATATTAAAGTTTGTTTATTTTTTTATAGCATCAGAGACACTAACATCTAATGTCTTGGACTGATGTAACGAAGCTGAAACTTTCTCCACCCCATCTAATAATGCATATTTTATTGAACATGCATGAAAAACTTTGTAACTTTTTCATTAAATGTGTGTACTGATTATTCAGGGAAATTTCAGTACAGAGAACCATACTCCAAGTGACTGTGAAATTACAATCAAAATTAAGTGGTATGGATCCAAACAAACGATTAAGCTAAGGGCAATTGGTAGATTTGAATAAAGTCTAAGCTTAAATAAACCAAATTAGACTAATTTTTTCGTGTACACTGATAAATAAACATCAAATTATGTAATGAGGAATGTAAAAATTACCGGAAGAATGAGAATAACTGAAATACTTCCCGAGTGCATAGATAGACCACGATGGATAAAGTGGTAAATCGCCAACAAACCAATTAGTATTTGGTACACCATCACGAAATACAGCAGGATATAAAGGTGTTGAATCACTTGAATGAATATTATCAACTCTAACAGAATTTGTTGACACATTTATTTTTGATTGTGAAGATGGTGAATGGTGAGCAGGTACACCAACATATTCATCATTCTTCGTTTCAGCTGTTTGGTGTACTAGATCATTTTGTAAAGGAACCATTGAATCTGATGTGTTGGATAGTTCAGATGGATTCGGTGATGAACAATTTCCGGCTGGAATAAATGTGATAAGATTAAACCACAACGTTATGTTACACAGAATTCAAGATGAAAGGATATTATGATGACAATGTTGCTCAACTTGTCAGCCAATCAGGAAACATAGCTTAGTTATCAAACAATTATAGAAAGTAGTAAAAAACTGGAATAACGTTTTCAATATAATTAATTAACCTTTACACATTAAACTATGTATTGTGGTAAGTGAAAAATGTCAAATTTACATATTGCGAGTTGAGGTTATAACTGTATGGAGTTTTCGTCACCAACTGACATCAGTTATAATGCAATGTTGCTTTTCAACCCTTTATTCCTGATGATCTATTACTGTGACTTAAAGGAACTTCATCGCTACTTTTGAGCTGATTAAACAACTAGATATTGGTCTTAGTAATACATGATGGCAGTGTAATAATGACAAGCTACTTAATGGCTTTAATTCAAAATTGATTATGTATGATAAAGATGATTGCAAATATTCAGTACTTAGTATCTTTAACAACCCTTACATCAAACACGAGAAACATGTGACGAGAATGGAAAATTAAAGACAAGTAGTAGAAATTTCTAAATGTTTATAATGACTGATAATATTATTTACTCCGTTGTGGTCTACATTATAGGGATATGGGATATAAAATAAGCATCAACACAACTACATAAGTTAAACATGTAGCCACCTTAATTCATAGTCAAATGAATTAGCTATTATAAATAAAGAAAAAACCAACTCACATAAATCATTGACAGCATCAATGTATTTGCCATCTCTAGAATCATCTGATCCATCATCAGTCGATTTTCTATTCATCATTTCACTGAAATTTGAATGATCAGAATCGGCTGATAATAATAATAGGTCATTATCTTCAGGTTGTGAAAGGCCGATATCTGCATCGGTATCTGCTTCATCATCATTATTCGTTGGATGATTTTTCGTTAACTTTTCAGCTCGACCTACAAGAGATAATGAAGGTGGAGGTGGAGGTGATGATGACGATGCTGTCTCCTTCTTGGGTTTTGTTAGAATGCATACTGCTTTTTCATTGGATACTTTCCTGTTAGTTCGATGACTCGATGATGACGACGTTACAACATGATTTTCATTCGGCAGACAAAACGTATGCCGTGGATCAGACAAAATTTGTGGTGATAATGGAATATTCGTTAACTAGTGAGTTTGGATATACATATTAAAAAAGGAAATAAAAAACCAACCGTTCAACTTAAAACAGTTAAGAACCATAACATTTAAAAACACCGTAAACTGTTTAATATTTAAATGATAATGAATTAACTGAACAGTTTACAAACCTCATAAATTTACGTAGCAATCGTTCATTTTGGGGTTATACGGAACGTTTTCAGTGTTCATACAGTATTTTGCATCCAGCACCTTCAACTATTTTCCACTTCATGTAGAAGACAAGGGTTTTACATTAGTATAATTTTCATTGCAGATTTCGTTTCAATCGCTGACTGTATTTTTTGTCTTTATTTTACATGTTAAGCTACGCTACACTGATAGTCATATAGACCAGTTTCAACTAATTCCAAAGGGTTGGAATGAAATCTTTAGTTAAAATTACAATACGATACGTAACATTTACTTACTAAGTTAATGGAAAAGTACTTAGACGTGCTTGACATATCACACTTTGACCAGTTCTACGCAACTCTACTTAACTATGGTGCAACAGATAAGTTTAATTAAAAATCCATGTAGTTAAATCAGCTTCAAAAAATAGCGCTTATGTACTGACAACTTAACTAGAACATACTATAACTTGAACTTAATCAATTTGAATCAATGACAATTATATTGTAAGTGAGATACATCAGAGACAACGTAATATGGTTTTAATAAATAGCAGTGTGTTTTTCATTGCACTTGCTAATGATATCAGCTGCAATCAATACATTTGTCCGGCTTTTTTCTACCCCGGAATTTCGTAAATCGCTGAAGACTGGAATACGGATTAATTTGTGTGAGCTTAAAACCAAATTACTGTCTTTGGAACGGATAAGTGGGGTAAATGTTTTGTCTGGTACGAAAAGACACAACATTGATAGTTACTCAGTGGAGGTAATTTAATTAGAGGTATGAATATCTGAAAAATGGAGACTTCAGAAAGTCTATGGATGACTTTGATGATAGGGCGTAATTAAGTAGGCACTGTACTATTACTGCAAAGTCTAACATATGTAGTCTTACAATAAGTAACTACTTACTGGCATACATACATTAATAGATAAATTAACGTAACTACTTTGTGAATTATGTTATAGCATACAACGAGGAAAAGTATTCGAAATTACTATGTATATTCGGGATATATTTTTACTATGATTCAAAATTATTGGAAGATACTAATTCTACTGTAGTGTATGCAGTGCATCTCAACACTGGGCGCATAGTACAGGTATCATTTGTATGATTGTAGACACCACTTTTAAAATGGTGTTAAAAAAAGTTGTATGAAATCGAATACACTATAGGCAATCGGATAGCCATAAAAACAATTTCACGAACCTTACTCACCACTAATTATTGTACGAAGTTTTAATTACGTACAGGTTAGTGTGTTGAATTTTGAATTATACTTATTGTATAGTGGCTAGAAAAATATCAATTTTATCAAAAATAATCTGTGTAGCAAGTTGTGGATCTGTGATATAATGGCTTGAGTCTTGCCCTCGTTCGAGGAAAATCTTTGCCTTATAAAAACTGATTTATTCTACATTAACCGAAATAACTGACAAGGAATTTTATCAAGCCAACAAGATGAAAAGCTAAGAAGTTGAAATAATAAGATCACCTTCCAATGGAAAGACTAACAAGAAATATGGTTCATGAGAAATGAGTTAGAGTAATCCAAAGAATAGAAAAACAATACGTTTCGAATTTAGAGACAGGTATAGAATGAATGCTATTGAGCTATCCCAACCAATTTCCATCCATAGTATCTTTAGTGGATAACCATAAACTAAGATTATTGTACAGTACCTAGCCAGTCCAGGTACCTGGACCATATTTAAGGTTTCAGAGTAATACTCCACCAAGATCCGATATTGTAGTATATTTTCTGGTTGTTAGTTTGGTCAGCCCATGCGACACGGTAAGTGCATGTATTGTTTAGATAAGTATTCCCTCCATCCATTCTTAACTCTGTTTAATTGGAACTGGAATAATAGGAAAGTCGGAAGAGCAAAGAGATTCATATGTCAGAGTACATCTGAATGCACTTCAATAATTTGTAAAATCTCGTTACAAAGTAGTTAGTTTCTACTGAGCCCACACAAGTTACTACCAACACAATACAAATTCGACTACTGATTTAAATTATAAGCTCAGAAAGTAATATAATAGACTTGGAATTTTAAAGTAGGGTTATACGAGAATTAATTATTCAAAGTCAGATATTTAAGTCACTTAACTAAAAGTTCTAAAAAGAAAGTTATAAAGAGGTCGTAAAGGACTGTAAGCTCAGAATGATACTTTTGATGTGCTGAAGAGTCAATGTATGAAACAAAAAGCATCAGAGCTAATGTAAATGTCATTAAAACTTCTTACCTTATTACAACAAATACTAGATAATATGTGATAAAATCGCCAATTAGCTTCTTTATAATCAAATGGATCTGATCTTTCAGCTTGTTGACGACCACAACCACATGAACTTATCATTATTACATCAGACCGATGTGGCATAACAGCTAAATGTTGATCTGGATTATCCGAATTTAAAGCATCATTTGTTTGTTTCTCATTTAACAATTTCTGATTTGATAAACTACCATTATTATTGGTAAAACTTTTAATGGCGCATTCTATCCAATACCGTTTCCATTTACCACTGAGACCTAATCATTACATAGAAGAATCATAAACACAATTAGTGAAATCATCTGCAAAAAAACTATACAATAATTGAGAAATAAAAGAAACTGAATAGCAAACATGGTACGATTTCAGAACCAAACGTTTCAGTATACATATGTGTGTTTTTAAGACTTAGTGAGGTAGAAATTTAACGCTAATTCTGTGGTTGGTATTAGTCTAAAGAAACCTAACAAATAGCGAGGGAGACTTATTAACACTTAAACATTATGAAAATAGAGAGAACGATCAGTAATAGAACTCTTGTTATTATCAGGACAACTTTATAAATAATACTCCTAATTAAATACTTGGAAGTGTTTTAGGGTTACTGCCGATTCCAAGCCCAGGTAACAGATAGAAGAGGTGAGTATGGGATTAACAACACATGCTAGTAACCATTAGGAAGCAAGGAACAAAGCAACATGAGACCAAGCAATCAATAAGTAAAAAACAAAGGCTATGGGAAAAGATATGAGTTTCAGGGACAAATCGGATTTTGGCTGAGAAAAGCGAGGAATGAGATTGAAAAAAAACAGGTTTAAAGGATATTTCATATTCATGTTATTACTCATATTAATTGACAGATTTGATAATTATAAACAAAATGTAAATGTTGAGTGCGTCATTTTTCTAACGAAATAACGTTAGATTACAGTTGAATTATAATTACGAATTACCCTGGTACAGCCGAGAGTGAGGAGATTACGCTCTCCCTCTCCAAATGCTCTCATACGGCCACGCGTTTACAGCCTCTGCCAAGGAAGTCTTACTCACTGCCTTCTCGTGGCACTACTATTGTTTACGAAATTGAGAGGACGAAAAGCGAATGTCCAGTGCTTTAACCGGGTTGGTAGACACGGAAAATCCACCTAGGCGAGTTGGAAATCCCTGATTCCAAACCAATGGTGCATATGGGCTCCAGTATCCTGAGGGAACAAATGGCGTATGAATCAATCGTTGGTCACCGGCTACCATGGGACTGCATCTCCTTACGATTCTTCACTACCTTGTGGATCAGATCTTTCGGTCAAAGGCTCCGGTTGTGGCTCCCTGAAAAAACCACCTGCTTCGGTTTTGGCACCAGGTCAGTATCACAACCCTCACACAAATCAAATGAGATTCGTGTGGCTCATACATATCTGGTGCCTCTTTGTACCAATATTTATGTGTTCAAATAAATAAATAAACAAATAAATAAAATAAACGAAATAGAAAACTGATTTGGTTCGAGTTTTCATTTGATCGGGTTTTAAATTACCCAATCTACTTTTTCTGTAGTGATGGTAATATTCTAATTGTTTGTTATGTAACTACAAACATAGAATTTCAATTTTTTTTTGGGTTAAGATCAACATTTTTTGCTCTACACCTTAAAATAATTAGCGCTTAAGCTGGGTCGTGAAGGAAACTGAATCAGTGGGATTGATACGGTTAGTTATACAAGCTTACAATCATTGCTAGTTGTGAAATGTTTGTATCTACATAACTGAACAATAAGTAACATGTTTAACAATACAGAAAGTTAATTAATTTTCATCAAACTAGTTTACAAAAACAACTTACCAAAAGGAACAATATATTCATCTTTGAGTGTTAAGTCAATTCTATGCAATTTATTTATACTAGAATGTGGTTGATAGTGATTTTGGGATAGTAAATTTCCATCAGAATTAAAAGCAGTATAATCTTCACTAATTTTATTATCTATAGTTGATAGAATAACCTTCATAGTGTTGCAATCATCTGGTACACGATGCAGTTCATATTGACATGGTTGACCTGATAATGATATAGTGGGACATGTTACACGTCCAGCTAGATAAAGATGAGTTAGTCGACTTGATAGTTTCTCTAAAAGACGAAATACTGAATGGCCACGAGCTAAACCAATAGCTACATTATAAGCGGAAATAACCTATAACGTAAGAATATGAAAAATATAACAGAAATCATAGAATATACATTATATGTAAGTGATGATCAAAGAAGAATGAAGTGTATTAGATAACATTATGATCCCGGCTGCCTGAAAGATCACATATTATATACAAGACTTGCTTTTGTTGAACGAATTTATCGGGGCACAGGTTCATCTGTAATTCCCCATACTATGTCATTTACGAAGGGCAAAGATGAGACAGCCAACAGCCTGTCAAGTGAAGTATATCACACACTGATGCCAAGGTTGAAAAGTAAGGGTAAATTATAAACATAACTACTATCCAAGTTTTGTTTGCATACTGTGAGATCATAGAGTAAGTGCTTTCAAAGTTAAACGAAAGGTTTAAGATACTAAGAGTAAGTCACTGGACAATTTCACCGATTTATGCTTATTAGGCAGGTTGCGTTACATGCTTCGTATGCCAAGTTACTTTACAGACGAACATGAGATAGTGATTAAGCGAAACAGGGCCAGGTGAAAAATAAATTAAAGTAAACTTAACGAAGATATGATAAGCAAAGATGGATAGTGGGTAGCAATGGAATCCAGGTCGCGTGTTTCGTCCTATTTGAGACTTGCCAGCTAGCCACTATCCATCTTTGCTTATAATGCTTGTGAATTAAGGCAATATCGAGGCAATACGCACTCTATGCACATATGCCAATAAAAGATTGATCAATTGCAGTCCTAAGTATCAACGGGAAGATTCAAACAAACAATACTAAGTGAAGTCGAAGATATGATAAGGTTATAAAATGATCGACATTTGTCTGAATAGTACAGACTTCACAGAAAACGTCACCGCAGCGATATCAATCGATGGTTTTGAACACTAAGTAACATACTAAAATCGACGTCAATAGTACAAATACATTGACCATGTTTTGAACATTTTGTTACGAGTCATTAGTTTTCTATTGTTACCCCATGTCCATTCGGGTCATTTTTATAATTTATACCAGTTTTGTAGATTACCTCTTTCTGATTTGCTAGGAAATGTAACAAGTTGAACATCCGAGAGAGGTCGACAGCTGATCAGATCATCTCCAATAGCAGCCAGAAATGAGATAAAAAAAAAGCTTCAGAAGTGTACACTTTAACGAATATATTTAAAGGTTAAATATTATTTACGAGTGAAAACATACTACAAATTGTCTATGACGGAAGTAACTACAAAATTTCACCCTTGTAGAATCAAACTGGGATATGTTCTTGTATCCGAGTTGAAAGTGAGCGCTGGCTATGGTAAATGTACCTTGCTCCAGAAGAGTAAATTTCATGACAACTTTGCTATCCAATAACATAAAAAATGTAACCAGTGTACTTTTCACTGAACATTTACATTTTGTACTTGCTTGAAATTAAGTTGTTTACCATTTTTCTGTGTGACATTGAAAAACTTGGACATAGACTACATGTATTTAGTGTGGCATCCTAATAATTGAGACGAATCAATATCACACCATACATCAGTAATATTTTACCTGGAAAATGTGTTCAAAATTGTATACACTAGGTTGAGATTAAACATCCATAGGTCAAACAATTATTACATTTATTTTTTAATGCAGATTAATTGGATGTATTGTTTCCAGAGTGATTTTGAGACATCAGTCGATCAAGCATTTTTTTAAAAGAAGTCTTGAAAATCATTGACTACTTATAGTCAATAAACGTCATAAAAACGTCATTCGTACTTATATGATAGAAAAACAAAACTTACCTTGATTATATGATATGTACATGAATAATGAACAGGCAAATCTTGTTTATAATGATTTTCAGCAGTAGATGTAGCAGGTCGATAACGAATAGTAGATAAACGATTAATTGGATCCATAGTAGACCATGGATTATTGTAATCTGAAGTGAGTAAAATTTCTTCTTCTTCTTGTGTAACAGATTTTTGTGATGTTTTTTTTTGGGCTATAGATAATGTCGAGGTGTGAAGTGTAGGACAGAGGATAGAGATTAATGCATTATGCCATGATTGTGATAAACTAGCTACTGCTCCTCCACTTCCAATACGTGAGGATGAATCATTTTGACTGGTAGTCATTTCGGGAGTTGAGACTTTGGTTAAATGTTCATCTGATATTAAACTTGTATATATTCTATAACATGCCTAAACATAAATGTAATGTTATCACAACGAATATGTATGTATTTAATAATTATAAAATTTAGTTATAGAAACTGATAATGCAAGGATTAATTAAGTAAGCTACTGTGTGTTTCAATATTAATGGATAAGTGTACTGAGCAATCAATTCCCAGATTATGATTTTTCTCCTTGAACTGTTAGAGAAAAAATTGAACAACTAACCAGTAATACTGTAGTGAACAAGAACATTGGTGGGGACAATCGAATGCATTTAAGCACAAATTACAGACTATCTCAATAAATTATGATAACAACAGTAAACAGTTAATTTGCAAAAATAACAATCAACTGTCTCAATCTTAACTGTTCCTTCTTCAATTCTCAGTCCGTCCTCTCTGATTTCATTGTTCATGCATTTTCTTACCGACTGTGCTTCATTCCTGTTCTTTACTTATCGGTCTTCTGCCAAAATACATCCTATGTCTGACCATCACCATATACTACTTATGTGGATATAAGTAGACCACATCAAAATACTAGTTACCAGATACTAGGTACGAACAATATTTCAGAACAAATAAGTAGGGGTAATTAAATCATGTCCCTAACATTATAATTACCTTACAATCATAAGCTATATATTCGAAAAAGCAAACTAATCATGGAAAGAAGAAAATTGTAGTTAATATAGAGATGAAATGCGTAAACAAAACGAAGGAAAAGTATGACGTGTTATTGAAAAAAGGTTTAGTACTTAAATTCAGACGTGAAAGTGTAATAAGCTTGGCTTCAAAGAGATGTATTACTTATAAAAACATGCTTGAAGCATGCTAGTACTGGATTTCAGTGTCTATGGAAATGAACATAAAGGTAGATAAATCCAGTTTAAAAACTCCAAATAAAATAAGACTTATGTTCACAATTGCATGGTAAGCTATAATTCAAAATATAATGTGCAAAAAAGTCCGTAAATTTCTTAAATCAGAGCAACGTTAAAACCATATTAGGTTGAATAAATTTTTAAGACAATGATCTATTTTTTTCCCATAATCAGGGTTACTCATCCAATGTAACATCAAAATTTCCTACAAATTGAACGAAACAACGTTAAAATAAAATAATGAATTATATAGAAGTTAACTAAAATGATCATTTATTGTTCATTTAACTTTCAGTTATTTTCAAAACACTTAACGGACATACTGAATTGGTTGATTATGTGAGTTCTGAAACCCAACCCCTTCCCCCCCCCAAAAAAATAAACCAAAACTATAAGAACAGACATGATAAGGCGTACAACATTAATTACAGTTACCTCACAAACCTCAGTCCAGAAAAACATAAATTCTTCAAACTCATCAAATGATTCGTTAGCTTTATGGGTGAATATCAATCGGAAACCTTTTTTTAATGAACTGTGACTATTTACGCATAATAACTGTCTAGATTATTTTGTAGCATCATAAGAAGCTTCGTAAAACCAGTCACAACGTAGAACTTTGTACGTACGTACATCAGTTCGAGTTGCCATACCACATTAGCACAAACATCCAGTTGTCGATTCAAATCTCATAGTGGTGGAAGTAGTAAGAGCATAAGCAGTAATCCGAAAGATTATGGTTTGAAGATATTATTCAACGAGTATAATCCATAACATTCTTAAGCTACGCTTATACATTGTGTTACGACGTGTCCTTAACTAAAAGAGAATACCCAATGAAGAAAATCACTTTACTTTCTGTAGTCGAACTATAGTAGATACAAACCAGTTCTGAAATATACATGTACTACACAAAACCTGTGTAATGGACGCTACTCACAATATTATTTGTAAGTAGTGTGCAGAGGAACGCGACGTCAAAATTGTGAAGATTATCAGGCGGAGTGAAGAGTTTCAGTGCATTGAAAGCAAGGCATTGACAGAAAACTTGGAGACCAGATGAGAAGATAGTTCAGATGGTAGAACACACTGAGAGATGCAAACGAAAGACTGAAAGCTATATTTATGTATTGTATAAAAAATTGGTAACTTCTTGCAATAAAAATACATTGTTCCTACCTATTGTCGTGTTTTACACCTGTGCATTTGAGAATCTCTGTTCAACAAATCTAGAACATTATGGATTAAAAGTATGTCATATGAAAATTCTTAATCTAAAAGTCATATGAAAAATAGTTAATTCTCTTTAGGCTTACCATAAACCAAGCTTTACATGTTGGCAATTCATATGCAACTGCTGTTTGACCAAAAGAAGAATTTTTATTAGATGCTTGATCAATCATGCTTTCAACATGTAAATGTAGAAAAGAAGATAGATTGTGCTGGGCTGGTTGGTCGGGTGCTGGAAAATTCCGTGGAGATGGTGGCGAAGATGAACTAACAGAATCATTCGAATCAGTTGACAAAAATGTGTAAGAACCAAAAAGATTAGGAATTTTGTCAGTAGACATGTCCGAAATGTGATTGATATTTTTAAGAATAAATTCGAAATATTCTTGAGTAACATCTTCGCAAGATGGACGTTGTTTAGACCCTTCCTTTGTTTGTTCATTCTCTAACAGAACATGTACAAAATTATGTCCTGGAAGCATTAATAATTGATTCGTTGAAATACTATGAAGTGCGAAAACGTAAAGATAACAATTTCGAGAATGACATACACTAATAAATAGATTCGCAAATGCAATGTATGAAAAATAAAATATTTGGCAAATCAAAATTAAAGTAAACCGTTTCTGTAAAAATCTGTACTACATATCAGGAATATTATTTAAACCACCATTAGAGTACTGAAACCTCTTAGGATTGGTGTTTTGACAATCTTTCCACAAACTTATCACGGAATATGTCAAGAAGTGAATGTTAAATAAATTTCAAATCATGAAGTGATTGTGGACAACCAGTTGAAACCTAGAGGGATTGAACGGCTATCACTTGCCAGTAAGAGACTAATCAATCACGTGCAACCACGACCCCATGTTAGGGAATCAAAGCCAAGTGGAAAATGGAAACGCAACATATGATTGTATGGGAAAAGTGAGCGGTATTTTCATCTTTTAGTAAGATAACAATTACAAGGCACTAAATGACTAATGAAACACTACTCCTTTAGTTACGCTTACACAATGTTATTTAGCTTAATAACTTAACCTTACAATTAGAACATTTAGTTTAAACAATATAAAAGTACAGGAATCATAAGTATAAATGATGTACAAATCAACTTCCCAATCTCAAACACAAATAAGTTTGCACTGAAAACATGAGAACCAAAAATAATAAGTCAAATAAAAAAATCAAAACAATCTATATTTTATTAACTCACAAGTTAAATAGAGTTTTAAGTAAGTGACTGCAACAGGTGTAGAGGTTCAAATATTGGTACATACATTGGAATCTACAAAAGTAACCCTCAAATCTACCGCAACAATCAGAATATTGAGAATGAAAATAGTTTGAGCCAATTTATAAGTATGGAATTATAGAATACCAATGAGTTGAAATGCCATCAAGTTCCACAAAACAGGGAGTACTAATCTACTGAATCCCCGTTTACAGTTGTTCATATGTTATCAGATTAGAAGGCTTTATCAAAGTGAGAGAAAATAGGTGAGGGAAACGATGTTCTTTCATAGTCTCTACTTATGTCTCGACAGACTACGGTTCGGATGCAATCAGTAATGAAGTCTCAGTCAGTCAGTCAGTTACAACGCAGAACTTCGTACGTACGTACATCAGTTCGAGTTGCCATACCACATCAGCACAGAGATGCAGTTGTCGATTCAAATCCTATATTGGTAGAAGTAGTAAAAGTATAAGTATTATGTGAAAGATAAGGGTTTGAAGATGTTATTCAAGGAGTATAGTACAGTGAAATAAATTTGGAAAGAGAAAAATATAAAGACATGAGGAATTCAGAAGATTAGAATTTGGTAGAACACAAAGAGTGGATGCATCTTTGCCATTGCAAACGATTTTGAGCCATGTCATTCAAGGTCTCTAACCATCGGTTGATATCATCTCGCGAATCCCAACCAGGTAATCTACACCTACCAACATGGCCCAATCCACTTGTCAGTGACTTCATGGATTTATGCCATGTTTTGGTGTGGTCGCATCTAGCTTTCTTCCAACCTACTCCTACACCAGAAAGCATTGCACGTCGGGGCAGTCGGTGGTTGGGCATACGTAACACACGTCCCAGCCATCTCAACTGATGAAGTTTCACTACTTCATCAATCGATTTGCCATCCTTACCTAGTACCCGTTTCCTAACATCAGCATTACTTACCCGATGGTCCCAGGATATACGAGCAATGCTTCGTAGACACCTATGATCGAATACTAGTAGCCTACGAATATCCTCTACTCTTATCGGCCATATTTCACTGCCATAAAGTAGGACGGAGCGAACTGCTGCACAGTAAACCTGTCCTTTTGTTGCTAGACGGATATCTCGCCTACGCCATAAATGACGCAAGTTGGCGAAAGCTAGACGAGCCTTCTGTATCCGTGCTGACATTTCGTCACATACCAGACCACAAGGGCTGATGAGGCTCCCAAGATCAATGAAGCAGTCAACACGCTCAACTACTTCGCTCCCTATCATTAGTTCAGGTGTCGATGCAACACAATCCTGAAGTAACATTTTGCACTTCGAGGGAGGTCTACCAACATTATGATATTTTCAAAAAACACCCTCGATATATATCGTAGTACTAATCGGAGATTTTAATAAGTAGATTTGGTATTTGATCACAGAAGAGAATTGCTTTGGTGGGTGATGAGGACTTGTGGGTCTCAGGTCAGATGACGGTGACCACCTACTGCAGCTTTGTGCAGAATACAACCAGTTTCTGGTAAGCACCAACTTTCAACGTAGTCATTGGCGATGTTCTCCTTGGCATCATTGCTCTGTAACTCAGCTTTGTGGTCAAATTGATCACATCCTGAGCATTTACCTCTGACGGGGTAGTATACAAGACTGACACTCCTTTTGGAGTACCTTTCTGAACTCTGATCACGGTTTGGTTTGCTGGAGCTTATCTTGCTTTTGATGGTCAACCACTGCTTTGTCTTAAAAGGGTTAATTTGGATAAATTGGTTTTAGATTCCATTGCAATCAAATATCACACTGAGTTCGGTTCAAGGTTAGTAGCCAGTTCATCAAAAAATATAGATGAGGCTAGATTGAGTTTGCAGGGTCATATGAAAATGATGGGGGACGTTTCACGTGGCTTAGAGAAAGGTCCTGATTATGAGCACTGGGCTTTTTAAACTCCTCAGAGCACACCAATCTACTACAGCCAGCGCGAGTTTGATGACTAACGTAGATCCTTACGCAAATAAAATGTTCAAAGTTTGCATTAGAAACCGAGAAACCTAGTAGTCGGAGCGCGCCACCAAGTTGGAAACGGCTGCTGCAACTGGTAATTGCTGAAAGCTATTTTAAACCATCGGAGTCAATAAATCAATATACTTACCCAGTCTCTCTTTAAATATGATGCAGAAGTTTCCATCAGCGGATTGATTTGGTTGTTTGAAACGGATTAAGAGATAGAATGTTCCAACACCTTGAAATGAAGCGATTATCATTCTGATATTTAGAAAGAGCCTACGTTATCTACACAAGAACTATATAGGTGGATAAGTCTACTGTTCATGTCCAAACTAATGGCTTCCGTTATGCTTCTCAAATTGGTTCAAACGCGTCAAAGACTGAATCCTCAGGAACACGTTGGTTTCCAATCAAGTCGTGCATGCGTTAACCAAGTATTTACAGTCAACCGCACTTACTCGAAGCCTAAAGTCATTGTGTTTCATAATATTAGAACCACCTTCGATTCTTTGGACAGGTCTGTTCTCTGTGATCGCCTGTTAGGAGAGAATTTGGCTTAAGAAGTTTATTAACATCTTGAAAACCTTATATAGGAATACCTCATGTAGAGTGGGATTATACAGCCGCCAATTTACATTATTTCACTCGATCAATGAGGTTAGGCCAGGTTGCCTAATTTCATCATTCCTCTTTAAGTACGTGGTTATAGTGTGAACTCGTTTCCTGGAGAAAGACTTTCCGACCATGCGTATGTGTATGATAATATCTGATTGTGAGATGATACTAAAGCTTTGCAAATCGTGTTCGTTTGGTTGGGAGTCAGCGTCCATAAGTATAGCAAGTACCTTACACATTTCAGATGTACTATAATTCCAGAAGATTAGCAGTAGTTTTGATTCGTAATCATTCTTAGTGGCGATCCGTTTGAAAAGCCCGCGTATCTGGGTAGTTGTGCAAGTGCTGGTGGTAGCGTGGGTGATGAGATCAATCCACGTATAGTGAAAGTCAGAGAAGCTCATATCATTCATGTGGAACTCGTTCTCTATGTTGAGAACGTTTGGTATCTGTGTAATTAATCATCATCGTCCCCAAAAAACTTGCATGGAGAAACAACATCATGTTAGTAATACTCAGGTTCCCCAACGTCTGATCGGATGCAGTGATTATAACTCAGTTGGTGTTACCACGTTGAAACAACAGGTATCAGTGGCTTGGATACACATTAACAATTTTATCATAACGAATTCCATACACGGCATCATATGCCGACCCTAGCACAGGATGGAAAACGTGAAGCGGTCAGTTTATGGCGTAGTGCAGTGATTTGATAGAAAGCTGTATTGAACGATAATCTGTTAATTTACCACAACTCCCTGGTTGAGGTCTTAGAGACGATGCAACTCAGAGGCTTCAGACGTTTTCATAGATGGTTTATAACAGAAATCCTAGTTTTCTCTTACATTCCTCATAAGAAAATGGAAATCCAGGTTTTCGATGGTGGTCTAGCTTCAATTGACTCATGATTTCAACTTTGAAATATATTGAAATCTCCACAAATCCCCTTCTGAGGAAATCCTTTTACTAAAGAAGTCTCTCCCAGGTGTGATATTAAGTGAACCGTATCTACTTTCACTTATTCATTATTTTTTTATTTTTTTGGATTATACTTCCTTTCTTAAGTTTTTGTGACGAATTCTATTTTGGTGCCCACTTGTGTCATATTTTATGAGTACTAAATAAATAATAAGATTTCTGATAAAATCCTTACACCACGTCCAATAATTCAATGGTACATCTAGTTACATCCTAGCTAACAAATATATGCTGAAGACAAATAAATACTGAACATATGTCCACTATTTTCCATTAAAACATAGGAAAATGAATATACTTACTTGCTAACAAGACCAGTTTCATAAAATGTATTGAATATTTGAGTAACGATATTCTGTTCCAACTGCCTGACAAGCTTCCAATTCTAAGACAAATGAAAGAATGAAAGGATTATCGATCAGTTACAGCCAGCAGTAGATAACATAAGATCTAGCATTAAAATGTTTCAGTCTAAATCCTCTCACTTCAAATCCGTATAGAAAAGAAAAGAAACAAACGAAATGTAAAAACTAAGAAGTGGAAATAAAAACATCCATTTGATTGGAAGGCATAGAATAGGAAGTATGGTTAATAGGGAAAAACTCAAGATAATCGAAAATATGGGATGAAAAAAAGATTAGGATCCAAAAGGTACACAACAAATGCAACTGGATTGTTGTAACCAACGATGAGTCGTATAATGTACAGTCTGTAACAATATATTACGATTATTGTAAGGGGCATAAAAAGGTACTTCTAACCTCTCAAAATCTCACAACTTAGAGATCAATGGTATTAAGATCTAATGCTGTGTCCTTGTTTGACCGCTCTTGACACCTTTATAACATATATTGAACCACTATTTATACACAAAACCCTACGCACAACATAAGGTATGACAATTGATGTTACCCTACATGGACACTACATTGAAGACATGAATAGTTAGTGTTTGGGTAAGTAATCTAATTGCTTTCATTTCAAGATAATATAGCTTTCTCAGAATATATATATTAGCTGTTGCAGTTGCCATCACCGAAGAAGAATTTGGTAGTTCCCAATTAAATTGCCTTTGTTTCCAAAGTTGTTTGGACCTCATTGTGATTGGCCTTGTTATTCAGAATTTCCAAACTTGTAGAACCTTTTAGTTCAGGTTGATAATAAATGGCACTAACGTTCAAACAACAAACTTAAGATGATTCCAAACTATAGAGTCAGTCAGTCAGTCACAACGTAGAACTTCGTACGTACGTACATCAGTTCGAGCTGCCATACCACATTAGCACAGAGATGCAGTTGTCGATTCAAATCCCATAGTGGTAGAAGTAGTAGGAGTATAATCAGAAATCCAAAAGATTAGGGTTTGAAGAAATTATTGAAGGAGTATAGTACAGTGAGATAAATTTGGAAAGAGAAAAATATAAAGACATGAGGAATTCAGAAGATTAGAATTTGGTAGAACACAGAGAGTGGATGCATCTTTGCCATTGCAAACGATTTTGAGCCATGTCATTCAAGGTCTCTAACCATCGGTTGATATCATCTCGCGAATCCCAACCAGGTAGTCTACACCAACCAACATGGCCCAATCCACTTGTCAGCGACTTCATTGATTTGTGCCACGTTTTGGTCTGGCCACCCCTAGCTTTCTTCCAACCTACTCCTACACCATGAAACATTGCACGTCGGGGCAGTCGGTGGTCGGGCATACGTAACACACGTCCCAGCCATCTCAACTGATGAAGCTTCACTACTTCATCAATCGATCTGCCATCCCTACCTAGTACTCGTTTCCTAACAACTGCATTACTTACCCGATGGTCCCAGGATATACGAGCAATGCTTCGTAGACACCTATGATCGAATACTAGTAGCCTACGAATATCCTCTACTCTTATCGGCCATATTTCACTGCCATAAAGTAGGACGGAGCGAACTGCTGCACAGTAAACCTGTCCTTTTGTTGCTAGACGGATATCTCGCCTACGCCATAAATGACGCAAGTTGGCGAAAGCTAGACGAGCCTTCTGTATCCGTGCTGACATTTCGTCACATACCAGACCACAAGGGCTGATGAGGCTCCCAAGATCAATGAAGCAGTCAACACGCTCAACTACTTCGCTCCCTATCATTAGTTCAGGTGTCGATGCAACCCAATCCTGAAGTAACATTTTGCACTTCGAGGGAGAGAATCGCATCCCGAACATGCCTGCATAGTTGCTTATAGTGGTCAGAAGACTCTGCATGTTGTCAGCGTCTTCAACGAGTAAAACTATGTCGTCGGCGTATTCTAAGTCAACAAGTGAGCCTCCTGGTAAAAGTTCAACTCCTGGAGGTTTAGCTGATGAAAGTGCTATCTCTAAAAGTATGTCAATGACAAAGTTAAACAAGAATGGGGAGAGTGGACAGCCCTGACGAACGCCACTTGTTGTAATCAGTTCTGATGACAGTTCGCCATAGGCTCTAACTCGACCAGTTGTGTTCGAGTAGAGAGCCTTTATGAGGTTAATGTACTTCTTTGGTACTCCTTTCAGTGACAAACATTGCCATAGAACCTCACGATCAACGGAGTCAAATGCCGCCTTAAGGTCAAGAAATACTACTACTGTGTCTATGTTCTAGAACCTGACGTAGGGTGAATATCTGGTCTATGCAACCACGTCCAGGTCGAAAACCAGACTGGTTTTCTCTAGTCTGCTCTTCACGAGCTTTGGTTAGGCGACCTAGTATTATTGAAGCTAATATTTTAGACACTATATTAGTCAAACTGATCCCTCTGTGATTGTCACAAGAGAACTTTTGTCCTTTCTTATAGACTGGCACAATCAGTGATTGGGACCAGTCAGATGGAATTACGTCCAGTTCCCAGATTCTACCTAAGACCTCAGTCAATCTCACTGCTAGTACTGGACCACCATCCTTAAAAATCTCAGGGGTCAACCTGTCAGGGCCTGCTGCTCTCCCTCGCTTCAGATTTCCTATAGCTTTTTCAACCTCGTAGAGGGTTGGAGGACTTACCTCAATTTGCCATTCAGGACGACTGGAGATTGTGGGTAATTGAAGTGTGGCTGAAGGCCAGTTGAACTGATCCCTAAAGTGTTCTGCCCATCCATCCAATCTCCTGGATTGAGAATGAATAATATGCCCATCTCTATCTGAGATGGTTTCACTGATATTCGGGTTCCTAATGCCGGTTTCTTTAACGAGTCTGAATAGCTGCCTACTGTTACCTATTGCCGCTGCCTTTTCCATCTCTCTTGCTTTCCCTACCCACCACTGTTCACGATCATTACGTAGGCTTCTTATAAGCCTGCGCTTAAGTTGACTCCGCTCTTCGTTATGCTCAGAGCCAGGTGGGATGAGTTTACGAGCATCTATCAGTGCGGTAGATGCTGACGAGATCCATTGTTTCTCCCTAACGTTATGGTTTACCTTATTAGCGGATATCACTGCTGTTTCCACAGTTTTTCGGATGTCATTCCACGCTGCCTCGGGGTGGACACAACTTACATGGCTGCCTAACTGTTTTCCTAGTTGTTCCTGAAATATATTCTTAGCTTGCCTATCATTAAGTAGAACCCTTAGAGGCTTCCCTGCAGTGTCTTTCCTACGACCAGTAAGACGCAGACAGATACGTGCTCGCACTAGAGCATGTTCTGAAACTATAGAGAGAAAAAGATCATTTTACAGTCGATCTGTAGACGCTTATCACGGTCCCTAAACAAGTGGAAGGTAGGAATTCAATCATGTGGCTGAAAATGGCTGCAATTTTCTACTAAACTTCATCAATCATTATTTATTTATTTATTTATTTAAACACATAAATATTGGTACAAAGAGGCACCAGATATATATATATATATATATATATATATATATATACCACAAAAATCTCATTTGATTTGTGTGAGGGTTGTGATACTGCCCGGGTTCCCAAACCGAAGCAGGTGGCTTTCTTAGAGAGCCACAACCGGAGCCTTTGACCCAAAGATCTGATCCACAAAGCAGTGGAGCGTCGTAAGGAGATGCAGTCCCATGGTAGCCGGTGACCAACGATTGATTCATACGCCATTTGTTCCCTCAGGATACTAGAGCCCATATGCACCATTGGTTTGGAATCAGGGATTTCCAACTCGCCTAGGTGGATTTTCCGTGTCTACCAACCCGGTTAAAGCACTGGACATTCGCTTTTCGTCCTCTCAATTTCGTAAACAATAGTAGTGCCACGAGAAGGCAGTGAGTAAGACTTCCCTGGCAGAGGCTATATACCCGTGGCCAAGTGAGAGCATTTGGAGAGGGAGGGCGGACTCTCCCCACTCTCGACTGTACCAGGGCATTTGGGGGCTCTTCACTCATTACTCGTAGGTGATACAATGAAACAAGAATTACGACTTTAATCCAATGGAAAAAGATCGACCTACAAAATTGATATCCACACGTAATCATTTTTTGTGTTAAAACCTTTAACATGAACATCTCATTTCAATAGGTAAGAAACGTACTTTGTCAGGTAGTTACCTTGTTTTCTGATATCTATTTATTTTGGAGGTATATGTCGTGTCTTGTAAGCAGTTATCACTAGGTCAGATCGCATCGTTACACTTAATATGCTGATCGGCACTTTATTTATTCCTCTTAACAATCATAAATTTGTCCACACAACAAATAATAAAATCCTTCATAATCGAAATATAGACTATTCATAACCGTTGTTGAAAGAGCCAGAACCGTTGTAAGTTTGGTTTCGTCTACCGCCAACGAAAATTCTAATTCAGTTACTCCAGTCATTGCTTACGCAAAATACTTCCGCTGCCAGACGATTTATTAGAACGTCAGAAAAGACAGACAAGTGCTTGGTATCATGTTCACACCCAAAGACTGACGTGATTGCCTACATTAAATACAAGACCAT